ATGAGACGTGGTAAATCATAAACTTCTCTTTTCAGCGGAGGAACTTCAAAGAGTAGTAGTAGTAGTAGTAGATTTTATTATTTTACTAGGGGAGTCCCAACAGGCGTTGCCTTTTTACTGGGAACCCTAGGAGACAGTAAAAATGATGATCATGTGGTCCGCTGTGCTGCTGCTGTTTGTAGCGGCTTTGAATGGAGTACATGTACATGTAGAGGCGCTGGCGGAATGTCGAGCGGAAGGTGCAGACAATTGTGCGTGTCGCTACGATGGTGGTGGAGGTCTGGTCAACATACGATCGCTCAATCAACCTAAATCTCCCATCATCGTACGAGGGGGCACACCGAACATTACCGTCACGTTCAACCCCTGCACGGGGATCGATGTAGGTCCAGTGACGTCACCATGTCGTAATGTTACAGTCTGTGTAGAGTTGGACGGTATATACAGGGACTTTGGGGTCCCGAGCAAAAGCGGTTTCGCGGATATTTCCGGAAGACTGTCTCTCGCCTACCAACCTGCTGATGAATCTGCCGCGACTATTATTGAGTTGGTGTGCGATGAGTCACAACGACACACACCAAAGGTGACTCTGCTAGCCGAGGAATTCCCGTTGATACTTGCTATGGAACTTCGCAGTGTCTGCGCATGCCCAGGTGGATGTCTTAATCCGCCGATAAGTTGTGATCGGGTTGACGACTGCAGTTGTCGACTTAGCGATGGCTCCGGAACTCTGTCGCTACATAACCTAGACAACCCGTTTGCACCGCTGAGTGCAAAGGCAGTTGATCATTGGAATACATCGTACACATATTACTACAACCCCTGCTCGCCATTCAGCCTACCTGCACCAGTTCAGAACTGTACGAATGTGGCTGCTTGTCAGACTATTCCCCAGAACAGCGAGGACTTCAACATCGGAGTACATAGCAACGTTACATATCGAGTGAGCACAGTGGATTCACAGAGCGTGGTGCTTCACTATATACATGGTAATGACGGAAGGAATTCGTACGTACAGCTGATCTGCAATGCAGCGCAGGAATCGCCCGTTTTCACCTTCATCAAAGAGGATCCGTTTCGCACGTATCACTTTACTCTGGAGAGCAGAGATTGCTGCACCACCCGACAGGGCAATGTAGAGCGAGACATTGCTAAATTGACGCGCCGTCTGTGAACATTGTACCGCGTAATGGACAAGGATCCGATTCACTATTATCCTCATGCTGGGGATGGCTAGAGGTGTGACCAGCGGATTTGTAACCATTATAACCTTTTAGATTTGTGTTGGGTTTCAGTTCCCGTTATTGCAACACAAGATTGAGTCTTTCCTCAGATTATTGGCATTAAGTTGGCGTTTTGATCATTTTTGTTTTGTTTTGAGATAGTGTGTCACGTTGTAAGCACATTTGCTGTGCCCGTACAAGAGACCTTTCCACATCACCAAAAATGATTTTTTTTCGAATCATTACAAGCCCTGGTAAGGCACTGGTTTTTAACTTTTTATGTTGCCCGATGATTGCGTAGTAAGGCATACTAGTCACTAAGTGGACTACATGCTACCAACCCAATATGGCCGACCTCTGCCCATCGCTATGTGTCCTTGGCTCTGTCATGTAGATCTACCACGCACGGTTTTGGCTATTTACTGGTAGACCAACATGTGTCTGAAAAGCAGGGTCTACAAGCGCCCAGAGCAATCAAGCAATCAGCTACTCTGCATTCAGGGTTCTATGTCGCACTAATACCTTCACACATACATGTAAACTGTGTACAGACACAGCTCTCCACTTCTCTCCCTCCCTTGCTTTCTCCCAACACCTTTCCCCAGTAATTCAAATAGTTGCACTATCCGTATTACCATATGCACTGTGCACAGCGAGCGCTGAACAATGAAAACCGAGAAAATGATTCAATTGCAATACAGTAAAACCTGGTGTAAGCGACCTCTCGTTTTAGCGACCGTTTGTCCATGCAGGGACAGTTCCACACAGACACTGTGGGACCTGGTTCTAAAGACCACCTGGCTTTAACGACCGCCTTTCCTTGCACCGTCGGGTGGTCGTTTAAACCAGGTTTTACTGTACACTGTATTACAGTACTTTACTTTGGTTTGTATACTTTTAAAGTGACGTCACTGACGTGTACATACATGTACATGTACATCTATGAGACATGATATTGATCTGCGTCCGTACGCATGAGCACGGCAATATTCGATAAATCGGAAGATGAGAAAAATGAGAAAACGCTCCATTGTCTACTGGTATTGTATTCAAAATACTACAAATAGTGCTGAGAACATCTATCGTGCAAAACACCTATTTTGCCATCAGTTGTCAATTGTCAATTGCGTGTTGTTCGCCCGTAAAAGAGCCTTTTGACAACCCCCTAAATAAAGAATTTTGCCATCATTGGAAAACTGGAAAAAAACTTCCGAAGTACAAATATTGCTTTCCTGAAGTAGAGCGTGGCTATGTGCGTGTAATCCAACTCTTACAGACGCGATAATTTAGCAATGTCTCGCTCTACATTGCTTCGCGTGGTGCAGCAGTCTCTGCTCTCCAGTATAAAGTGATACGTGCGAAACGGGTCCTCTTTGATAAAGGTGAAAACGGGCGATTCCTGCGCTGCATTGCAGATCAGCTGTACGTACGAATTCCTTCCGTCATTACCATGTATATAGTGAAGCACCACGCTCTGTGAATCCACTGTGCTCACTCGATATGTAACGTTGCTATGTACTCCGATGTTGAAGTCCTCGCTGTTCTGGGGAATAGTCTGACAAGCAGCCACATTCGTACAGTTCTGAACTGGTGCAGGTAGGCTGAATGGCGAGCAGGGGTTGTAGTAATATGTGTACGATGTATTCCAATGATCAACTGCCTTTGCACTCAGCGGTGCAAACGGGTTGTCTAGGTTATGTAGCGACAGAGTTCCGGAGCCATCGCTAAGTCGACAACTGCAGTCATCAACTCGATCACAACTTATCGGCGGATTAAGACATCCACCTGGGCATGCGCAGACACTGCGAAGTTCCAACCCAAGTATCAATGGGAACAGTCCTGGGCTTACAGTGACGTGAGGCGTGTGACGCTGTGATTCATCGCATATCAGCAAAATGACGGTGTTACCCGCGCCGCTCTGGTAGATAAGGGCTAGTTCTCCGGAGCTCTCCTCGAACCTGCCCAGTTCCGGCCGTCCAAAGTCCATGTATACGCCGTTGTGCTCCACGCAGACAGTAACATTACGACATGGGGATGTGGCCGGTCCCACGTTAATACCAGTACAGGGGTTGAGCGTGACAGTGACGTTCTGTCCGACTTCTGCCGCTCGCACGACAATGGGAGATTTAGGTTGATTGAGCGATCGTATGTTGACCAGACCTCCGCCACCATCGTAGCGACAAGCACAATTGTCTGCACCCTCCGCTCGACACTCCGCCAGCGCCTGGGTACCTTCCAGAGTAGCTACTCGTGCAAACAACAGCAGCACGGTCGACCACAAGACCATCATAGTTACGTCTCTGCATTGAAGGAAAAGTTTATAATGGCTGTCGTCTCAGTCATCAGTCAATTGATGGCTATCATAACTTTCTTTCAGCCACAAACTCCCTCTCAAGATGGAGTTTGGGAGCAAATACTCAACAAGCGTTGTTTCAACGCATATAGTACATGTAGTGTGCAATTCAACCCCTATGACGAAGCGTCGCAATGCCTTCAGAACAACCTAGCGTCACTGTCTTCTTTCTCGTCTGTCAATGGCACGAGCAGTATTCCTGCTGGCAGGTGGAGCCTTGTACACTGTACATGGACTTAGTTCATGCCCGGCTAGAGACGGCACTCCCTATACAGAGACCTGATCGGAGCCAACCTCAGGAAACATCCAGCCTGGCAGTCCTGCTCTTTACAATCTGACTGTTTCAGTCATACATGTATGCTGCGTCCTGCTGATTTGGATATCACGTGATGGTGATGTCATACAAGTACACAAGACGAGTGCCATACCTCACGTGATTGTGAGTGACAGATCATAACTCCCGGAGTAAACAGTTTTGAAAGTTATCATCGAGTTGTTCAATGCATATTACAGTGCTTCATCATAATTATATATTGACATAACTATAAGGCATAACCAAAGCATGCCCAAGCTCAACGCTGGGTTTTAACCTTAAAGCGTGTCGCCTTGTACAGACAATCGGAATACTCTTCATTGCGGGATTAAGCCTATTGGAGGGGAGGGGGACCTCCTGGATGGTACATATACATAATGTGAGACACTAACAGAGTATATCTACATGTACGAGTCGTACATGTTCGACTCAGTAGGCAGTCGGGTCACTATAGGCTGTCGCGAGTACAGTATGCAGTCTAAATCCCAAAAACAGTCGCATGGCGTGCTCCTAGATTGTGAGTTAGTCCTTCTGGATTTCCGACTGTTTCTAGGGCAACGGCTGCCTACAGAGTGCAACATGATATTTTCGGCTTGATAGAGCTACTTGTACCAGAGCGCATGTGATTGATCTAACGGGGAAGCAAGGAAAGGGAAAGTTAAGAAAAATAAGTCACCGAGACTATGAAAAAGGAAAAGAGGGAAAGTTACAGAATGCAAGAAATGAAATACATGTATGATAACGGAGGCCTGAATTATAGAGAGGTCTTCAACCCCATTGTGGCCAGTCAAGGATAACACAGACATGTTTATTATTCCTTTTTGATGACCACCATAGCATAAGGAGAACACTTGTGTGTATGTGTGTGTGTGTGTGTGTGTGTGTGTGCGTGTGTGTGTGTGTGTGTGTGTGTGTGCGTGTGTGTGCGTGTGTGTGTGTGTGTGTGTGTGTGTGTGTGTGTGCGTGTGTGTGTGTGTATGTATGTGTGTGTGTGTGTTTTACTGTGAACCTCAGCAGCGCACATTTCTTGTCAGACTTGTGTTTCTCTTGCTGATGCTCAACGCACCGTTGACTGATGTTAACCTATATTTATGACCTGATGACTGTGCAGGGCGAGCTAGAACTGCGCCTGGTGACGTCATACTTGGTGAGGACAAGGCAAGGCAATCACGTGGTCATATTGAGTCGCTAGAATCCACCCGCAGCGAACAGCATCTTCAAATTATCCGACTGATTCAAGCCATGCAGAGACTTCAACAGCAGCAGCAGCAGCAGCAGCAGCAGCGAGGCCATGATGCTAGCCAAATGGACATTGCCAGCAGCCTGGTGCAGACACCTCAGCATGCCAAGCAAGCTCAGCACCAACCGCAGAAAGAGAAACAAAAGCAGCAGCAGCAGCAAAGTTGCAGCGACCAGGAACACCGACGTCTTCAGCGACTGCAGGAGGAGCTGCGATGCGACTCTCGTCGCCGACAACACATGCAGCGTCATCTCGAACAAACGCAAGCACGCAAATATCACAGGAATCAACAGCAAGCCATGCAAGCACACTGGCTCAACTCCGAACGTCGCCATCAGCTGCAGCAGAAGCAAGATCAGCAAGACAAACAACAGCGACGTAAACAACAACAACAACAACAACAACAACAACCTCATCCTCAGCGGCGCCAGAGCCTGTGTGAGCTACAAACTCAACAGCAGCAGTCTAAAGAGGAGGCGGAAAGCAAGTCACCGCCACCGCAACCTCAGCGTACGCAGGCGACACCATTGGCACATTTGCAGCTGCAGAAGCCAGAGAATTTGCATCTACAACAGCAAAGGAAGCCTCAACCGCACCCTCAGACTCCACAACAACAACCACAACATCTTGAGCAAGTCCTTTCGCCACAGGAACAACCACAACATGGAACAGTGCAAGGCAAGAAAGATATGTCCGATAAACTGCCTTCACTTCATCTTCAGCACCAACCTCTGAAGCAACCACAGCAGCAACAACAGCACCATCACCAGCAACATCAGCACCATCAGAAGCAGCAGCAACCACAGCAGCAGCAGCTTCAGCAGCAGCAATCACACCAGCAGCAGCAACCACAGCAGCAGCAGCTTCAGCAGCAGCAATCACACCAGCAGCAGCAGCAACCACAGCAGCAGCAGCTTCAGCAGCAGCAATCACGTCAGCAGCAGCAGCAACCACAGCAGCAGCAGCCTCAGCAGCAGCAATCACACCAGCAGCAGCAGCAACCACAGCAGCAGCAGCTTCAGCAGCAGCAATCACACCAGCAGCAGCAGCAACCACAGCAGCAGCAGCTTCAGCAGCAGCAATCACACCAGCAGCAGCAGCAACCACAGCAGCAGCAGCTTCAGCAGCAGCAATCACACCAGCAGCAGCAGCAACCACAGCAGCAGCAGCTTCAGCAGCAGCAATCACACCAGCAGCAGCAGCACCTTCAACAGCAAGAGCAACATGTCCAAGAGAGGACGGGACTGCAGTGGTTACACGGAGCTCTGCTGGGTCAGGGACTGCAGCCGCGACAGCCTGCTGCTAGCCCACAACTTCCAGAACATGACAGCCTAACACCATCCCCAGTATCCCAACATCAACAAGAACATGGTGTGCAGGCGCAGAACCTGCGCTCGCGTGAACAAGGCATCCGCTCGCCGCCCTCGCATCATCAGCACTCGCAACATTCACGGCAACTACACACACCTCAACCTCAACTACTGCAACAATCGCGTTTACAGCACGACACGCTCACGTCCGGATGTCCTGTACAGCAACACCAGCAATGTCAGCAGCAACAGGAGCCACAAACGCAACAGCAGCAGCAACAGCAAAAGCAGCAGCAGCAGCAACAGCAGCAGCAGCAGCAGCAACAGCAGATCACCGAATCTCCCATATATCAGCATAAACAGCACCACTCGGCACCACATCACCATCATCATCAGCCACCTACTGAACAGACCTGCTCACCACCGGGCAACCCGCAGCAGCACACACCAACGGGTCATACTCTCCAGGCAGCACAGGCAGCAGTGGCCAGGCCAATACCTCTCTGGGATGAAGCCATGTGGATGCTGCCACCAGGTAAGAATCAACGCAGCGCACATAATATTTACTATAGGCCTAATTTATTATTTTTACTGGTTGGTCCCATCGGCCTCTTTGTATTTGTGCAGCTGCACTGCTGAGCATCCGATGAACAATACATGAATAAAATAGAGTTGGTTGTTCTAAAGAGAAACACAGTCAAGCTTCTTGCCGACGCTTGACTGACTCACGACCGCCATCCAGAGCAATCTCGAGGAGCAAGTTGCACCTTCCACTCGGCAAACCTGCAAGAAAGCACCACTCCCTGCTCAATACACAGTGTTTCGGGGAATTCACCCCTCATCAGTTGAGCTTGGGTAGGCTGAGGAAGATTGTGCCTGGAAAGAACCACTTTTATACTGCTTTCCAGGCCAAACCATCACCAGGGATACAAACTTACAGAGATGCTTTGTTTCCAGCGCGACAAACACCTCGTGAAGTCCCAGGCAGCAGCGTGAGTCAGAGTCGCTCTTGGAGTTGTGCTAAACAGACGTTGAGAGCCAGTAGCTATTCACAACGCTGTCACCTCCAACATCTAGTCGCACATCCGCATAAAGGACAACAATACGAACTTAGAAGTTGCGACTTCGGCGGTATTAGTCATGAAGTTGGTTGTTCCAACGAGTAACACACGCTTCTTGCCAACACTTGACACTTGCATTAGCAAACTAGCGTACAGAAACCACTGGAAATATTGAGGAGGCCTTTCGCACCAATACTCTTCAAACGCTGAGTTAAAATCTAGAGAGGATCTGGCCAACTCGATGTCCTTACTGGTATTAGTTGGAATTGCTGTGCTGTGTCGTGTATAGATCCTACCAACTGGACGGCTGGTCACGTGCGAACGTGGGTGGAACTATTCGGGCGGTACAATCCCGACTGCCGAATACACCCGGACATGATGCCTTGCAACGGGCGAGGCTTGTGCTCCGTTAGCAACGACTCAGGTACCTTCTCGCGTCTCGACCCCCTGTACGGTCCGGCCATGTTCGCCGATCTCAGGCAGCGAATCGAAGAAGCAAGCATATTCGCCAACGCGGTGTGCTAGTACACGCGCACGCGCACACACACACACACACACACACACACACACACACACATACACATACACACACATACATACACACACGGATGTTGAGACCAGGAAGAAGTATTGCATTTCTCTCTCCCTTGGTTGATAACCAAAGACTCTGTGCAGAGAAGAACCTGATATGCATACAATCAACAGCATGATTCATCTCTGAGCTTCAAGACACTAGGTAGAGTCAGTGTGACCCCTAATCGTTTACTCTACTGCTGGTCATTTGAATCTCAATCCATGTTAATAACAATACTCGAAGTACTGCCATATCCCTTGCCTTGAATTGCTAGAAAAAGCAAGCATTACGTCATCGTCCAAGATTTCAGCAACTATGAATCTGATACATCTACTATCAAGAGTAATAGTTTATGTACTCTTGGTACTATGTTAAAAGAGTATGGCGTAAGTATGACGTAACGACTGTGCAATGCATCTATACTGCTTCAGTAGGTCATCTCATACACTTATGTGACTATCCTCCCGAAATAAATCTGTATTCCCTTGATTGTAGCAGCATCCGTACAATCATGCTTAGCAGGCTCCGCCGGATTTATGCTCTCGCTAAATCATGGAATTATGCTTTCATGGATGCTCACATTATGCTCGCAAAATCCTCATATTATGCTTCGAAGCCCAAATTGTGATATACATGTACTTGTAAGAACCGTGATTCGTAGGTGGTAGGCGTGCTAACAAATCACTCGTTCGCCGTGTGAATAGTCGCTGCAATATTCCATCCACATGTACTGGCACTAGTACATGCATTTCCACAATTTTCCAGTCACATGACCCTGGATACGGAGACCACCCGGCAACAGAGACCACGCTTTGAAGGACCCTTGAGCAGCGGTCATCTTAGACAGCTGTTTCACTGTAGTTCAAAGTGCTTTCACACCCAATCCCTGTGATAAGACGGAGAAAGAGGAAGAGCAAAGGCGAGAGGCTATCTGTAAGGGGTGCTAAACTAGCAGCAGTCAGTGCCAGTGGGGCGAGTGCAATATTGTCTTTGAAAATGGCGGTCAACACACCGCTGAGGGGTGTCACACCCAGCCGACTAGCTGCAGGCAATGTTCTATCATGTACGGTTGCTTCAGACTGTTTCCTCCGCCATCACCATTCCCATTACCATTACCACTACCATTACGGTCAGTCGCGTTACATTCTACATGTACATGATACCGCTATGAAGATTCACACGACGCAGTTTCAAAGTCAGGTCTCTGAAAGCAGAGCTCCTATTTCGGCTAAATCGTCAAGTGACTGGTTGTGGAGTTCGACGCTCAGGTTGCCATTGAGAATCCGAACGACGTCTGTTACGTTACTTGGAGAGCATGTTAGGAACATATCGGCCTCTGCTGTTGACGAACTACACTGGGTTTATAGGATAGTATTAGAGTGTTCAACTTTCATATTCTTATCTCTTGCAGCACACAGGCAAATGTTCAATGGAAATGGCAGATATATTTTTTTCTCTAAATGGAAGATTCATGCAAAACTGGATTGATAAGGAGAATACAATGATGTCATGTACTAGTGCTGTGGACGTTCCTGTGTTTATTCATCGATTGAGAGAATACAATGACGTCATGTACTAGTGCCTAGGCCAATTGGACGTTCCGCTGTGGATTGATTGATTGAGACCATCTGTTCGTTTTGAAAGGAGGCTCTGGACTGCAAACTGGATCACTCCCGTCGCCGAGTCGGGCTGACCAAACCGTCCAATGTCGACGTGCGATGTAAGGTTATGCGCTACTACCGACTAGGTCCGTGCAGTCCTGTATTGTTATGCTCATTTGCCAAGGTGTACAGTTTAGCGAAATGTAAACTTACACTCACCATCACTTTCATGGAGGGTTTCTTTCATGATGTCTGATGGTCACTAGGATACGTGAACTTCACTGCCAGCGCTGTACGACCAAGAGCAAGCAAGGAGAACTAACTTATGTGCTCTTGGTACAGTATGACCAATTCGTTTTAATGATCGCCTCTTTGCAGACAATGTGCCTACTGCCCAATGACTGCGTTGTGCATGGGCATGCCATGCGTGTACATGCGTGTACATGCGTGTACATGCGTGTACATTATACATGTATGAGCACATTGTCAAAAGAGAGGAGAGAGAAAGCTGTGCTGTGGCACCAAGTGTCACCCAGTCACGATCATTAGGCAACTGATGGCTCCAAAACGGGCAGCAGCCTGAGCATAAGGGGGAGCAAGATGAGAATTCTTTGAGAAAGTGGTGGCCATCACGCAACTGCATCATAAAGAAAAGGGGATTTGTCGACTGACAACCGCTCTATTCAGTCGCTATTCACAATCGCCGCATTCGCCGGATGAAAAATTCTATATTGTGAGGTCGTAACATTATGACTTTTCGGGCCAGTTACCCTTCTAAACTTCACTTCTCAACTCCAAAAACGGTCTCTTCACTGCGATTCAAATTTAAATGTTCGGGCCTGGCCCATCATCAGTCACCCATCGTCAGAACAAACCAAGGTGAGAATTACTGAGCGGAAACCCTAGCAGGTGGGACGTTGCTAAGTCTTTCCTTAGACTTGTGGCTTCTAGTACCCGGCAGCAGTTCTGACACTCTGATGGTCTGCTGGGAATATGCCGGGTACTTTTATAACACACAACAAAACAAGGTCACACCTGAATGTACGGGTGTGCTGGGGATGCTTTCGATTTCGAATTTCGACGTGTGGAATGCATTTTCCGGGAGGTTGAACAGTGCATACCCATAGAACAATACAGGATTATGTTACCAGAGTTCAGCTGTTTCTTCTGTGTTTTCATATAACTAGAAATTCTCTATAAAAAATAGAAAAAAGGTTTGTAAATGGCTATAGAATCCACGAGTTGTAAAACGAGTTGTAAAACGAGTTGTAAAACGCTATTCCACTCCCCGTTTCCCAACGTAGCTTCCCTGCGTTCCCAGCTCTCCAATGTTTGGTACGAATCGAAACACTGGCGGTCGGACGTGTGAGAACCCCCACCGTCCTGTTGCACACTAACGTACAGGTCATTGTATTCTATATTCGCTCATCATCGTCCGTTTTGACTTCAGTCTTGACTATTGACGTCAACTCCTGTGACTTAGTTGACAGATGGCAAGGCAGATCGGCTGAGGTGTCACCATCGGATGCACATGTTTGGATACGCCAGGTCGACTTGGTCGACTGCTATCAATGTTGATCTTGTGATCGCATAGCACGCTTGCCAGGGATGCTGTCCCGTACCAGCACGAACCATGCAATACGTTTGTGCCGCCCGACGACGTCTGCGTGCTGCAGTGGCTACAAAGAATGTAAGCTTGGAATCCGACGAACACCAGGGTACACAGGAGTGCACAAGCAGCCGTTATAATGTGTGGGGAGCCATGCGGAGAGGGGACGGAGCTGCGGACAGCTATAGAATCCACGAGCGGGCCCAGCCGGTTCTGGAAGCTGGCGATCGCTTTGCGGCGTTCTATTTTGGTTCTACCCGGACCATCTCCAGTTCGACCTGCCTAAACCGCCCGTGATAAAGCCAGCCCCGGAGCGATCGTGTTCTCCATCCTCGTCTGGAAATTGTTTGCGCTGGTGAAGTTTTTGGACTGCTGCAATCATGGAAGTGGAAAAGGCCCCAGCCTACAAGGAGTCGCTGCTGTTGGAGGATGAAGAGGCCACTAAGCGCGCTCAACGCAGGAAATGCTGCAAGGAGAGGAGGTAGGTTTGAGATAGATGCAAAAGCTTCCTTTCCTTGAAAAAGCTCTCTTTCCGTTCAATATTGTGTTATTTTCTTCGTTTCCTGGTCTTCCCACCTGGTCTGTGTGGAAGTTACAATGCAATCTTCGTCTCACTAGTAGGGTAGTGGCATGCAGCGACACGGATAGTGATGCCGGGATCTCGGTGTGCTCGAGAGTTATGCGCCTGTTTCATCTCCACTGCTGCCGACGACGCTGCTGCTGCTTCCGCCGCTGCCATTCCCGACTGAGAATTGTGAACGCTTGAGAACATGTTACATGGTCTATAACAGTTTGCCAGGCTGTGGTGTGGGGGCTTGGATAGGAGATGCCGTGATTGAGCGCTGCTGGCGTGTGAACGTCTGCTGAGCAGGTTGATGCTGTTCCCGCGAGACGGATTGAATTTCCCACTGGTTCAATCACAGGAAACATGATCAGCCAGTCATTTCCTTGCTTGTCTCTTATCCGTGCTTTTGATCCACATGGATGTTGTGTGTCAATGCAAAATCAATGTCGGGTTGTAGTAGTGACTATCGACTGGATTTTCGTTAAATGGCATGAAAAAACATAAAAATCAACAAGATATTAAAGTGTGTGTGGGGGGGGGGGGCACTTTCTCACAGAGGGACACTCTATCAAAGCAGGAGAGTGCTGCCCCCCCCCCCCCCCTCCCCCTCCCTTGGCTAGCTAGGACCCTGGTAGGTCGACATAATGCAAGAAGTGAAAACATCATAGGTCGACATAAGTGCGTCTACTTCGAAGTTACAGTATAGGTATAGTAACTGTGAGATGTTATTGTGTTTAGACAGTGGATCCAGGTCAAAATGGGTTACCTACAACATGGTATGGTGATTCTGCGTATATCTATCTGACCACAGAATAGCATAGCATGCACGAGTGGGAGTGTACATGTATAATGACTCATGGCAACCATGTATATGACTGTGTCTTTGTGTGTGTTTGCGTGTGTGTGTGTGTGTGTGTGTGTGTGTGTGTGTGTGTGTGTGTGCATGTGTGTACGTGTGTGTGTGTGTGTTCCTATCCTTGCTAAACCCAGCGGCAAACGTGGAGTTTTGGTTGTGGCCATTGGCCTGGCCCTGATGGCTGGCATGTTCTTGGCAGGATGGTACGGCGGCCAACGTCACCATGACGACCACGACAAACATCATCACAACGAACAACCACAGTATCAGTACCAGTCGCCTTCAGGTAACTACTGCTTGTAGTCATGGTAACTATGGCTGGTAGTCATGGCTACTACTGATTGTGGTCATGTTAACCACTGCTGGTAGTTACGGCGACTACTTGTTGTGGTCATGGCACCTGCTGCTTGTGGTCATGGCACCTGCTGCTTGTGGTCATGGCACCTGCTGCTTGTGGTCATGGCACCTGCTGCTTGTGGTCATGGCACCTGCTGCTTGTGGTCATTGTAACTGCGGCTTGTAGTCATGGTTGCAAAGCTGAAATTGATGATTTCTTGTTGCACCTCACTTCAGCACTTTGATAAACATTACTTCTATTTGTGGCAAGGGGAGTTGCCAATCATAAATACTGCTGCAAAGGCATTACATGCAGTGAGTGAGATTTCCATATCTCACACGCCGGGCATTGCAGGAAAATGGAAACGGGAAAGATATTACCATTTCAAAGCACCTTCAACTCTCTGGCGCAACTGCGTGGCGTAGGCATCTCCGCTCTTTGCTCAAACTGACAGGGAGCTATGCATAACGCAAACAGCAAAGGCACTACCCCTCATGAGAGTGCTCAATTGCTACGAGAGCAGGAGCTAAAGACTCATTTTGCGGACACTTGACCGAGCTGTTTCGTCCTTTGTGGGCTCATCAGCGCAGAACACATGTATCTACTTATCTCTCTCTCTCTCTCTCTCTCTCTCTCTCTCTCTCTCTCACCCCCAGACTATTACCAGATGTCTCAGGGCAGTGATGGTAGCTACTTGAACAAGCCGGTGCTGGAGGGAAGTGTTCCAGTTACTGACTTTGTCATGTGTAACTTTGCTAACGGGACGCAGTGCCAGAGTGGAAACCCAATGCTAACGCCCAAGGGTACTATCCAAGTGACACTCTACAAGGTAAGTAACTACCCTCTGATTCCCGGACTCCGTGTTTGTGTGTGTGTGTTCTTGTGTGTGTGTGTATAGGATTGTTTGGGAGAAATATACCATTGTTGGTGCATTTCTAACTTACTTCGCTCTTCGTCTCTCATTTTTCAGCCTGGGTGTCTTCCTGACTCTCTCATGTCCGTCCTTTTTCAGTTTCCTTGCCGTTCTGTCCTCCAGTGGTTGCATCTCTATCTTCCCCTTAACCAGCTTTCCCCATGATTCCTGGTCAGGGGTATTTTGTCGCTGCAAATTCCTCTTTATCTGTGCATTGATCATGGCTGTAGACGGCGTTAACACCTCTACTTGAACAGGCTAGTATAATGTATCTCTCTCTTTCTCTCTCTCTCTCTCTCTCCCTCTCTCTCTCTCTCTCTCTCTCTCTCTCTCTCTCTCTCTCTCTCTCTCTCTCTCTCTCTCTCTCTCTCTCTCTCTCTCTCTCTCTCTCTCTCTCTCTCTCTCTCTCTCTCTCTCTCTCTCTCTCTCTCTCTCTCTCTCTCTCTCTCTCTCTCTCTCTCTCTCTCTCTCTCTCTCTCTCTCTCTCTCTCTCTCTCAGAACAACGGCCAGACAAGCTTCATTGTAACCAGCACCGGTGAGAACTATGGAGAGGCCCTTTCAACACTGCGTAAGAAGCGCTCGGTGGCATCTACTGTCAAGACTTACCTGAATCGCTTGCACTTCACCAACTGCGACGCCAACCTGTTCTCGCCCATCCAGAATGACTACAAGCAACTAGACAAGGTGAGCAGGCAGGCTGATCCATGCATATCAGACAATGATCGTGGCAGCAAGGGTAGTAGAACATACAACCTGCTTTCCACCACTGCAAGGACCTGCTCAGTGTCGACTGGAGTGAAGCTGTGCAGTATTTAGAATACGAGCATTCAGTTCGGTCTTTGCTTGTATTCCGCATCATGACACTGGTACTTCACTGGATCAGGCGATTGTGTACAAACCATCACTATAATTATGCTGTGCGGTCTGATTGTGTGATTGTGTGATTGTGTGATTGTGTGATTGTGTGATTGTGTCACCGTGTGTGCATACCATCACTGTATACTGTACTGACAGATGGCTCATGTCGACTCCACCCAGGGCATTCACATCGACTTCAATTACTCCAGCATTACCTCTCACACGCACATCATCAACCTGCTCGGAGATCTGCCTGCCGCGGGTTGCAACATTTCCTTCGACAAGGCGTGAGTTTCTTGTTGCTGCTCTGCTGTATTTGGTGAAGTATAGTGCGCATTTAGGATGCGCCATTTCAGGCTGATAATCTAAGGTAATCGCTATACTCCTGGCATGAAAATGCATGCGCTACGAAAAGTACTGCACTGCATGACCTGGCGCGATACTTGCCACCGCTGTCCTGGTTTAAGCCACATTGTTCTTTTATGACAGTGCAGAGTGCAGGCATTCCATAAGCGAAGGGGTGCAACAGATGCAATCTCCTCCTCAGAAATTTACGAAGGCAAGGGTAAACCAGGTATAATCACGCTTAGTTGCTCATGAAGTGTGTGGCAAGTTGTGTGTGGAACACGAAGCATTTTCTGGCACCAAAACTCACCTGATTGTTTTGTTGGTGCGGATATTTTCTTCTGATCATTTAGACCAGTCAACCATCTCTTCTCGGTACGTGGTGGTGATGACATCATGACGTCGGATAGTGACACGATCCCACAGCCGTCCGTCCCACTCTTCATCAAGAATATGAAGAGTATGCTGCCCTCGTTCGAGCCTGGTCCAGTCGACCTTACCCAGGTAAGAAGATACCCCCCCCCCCACACACACCTGGGCCAATATCTTCTACTCGGTGCTAAACCCCTTTCCTGGGTCAATGTCCCCTTCCCGGGCCAATGTCCCCTTCCCGGGTAAATGTCCCCTTCCCGGGTAAATGTTCTCTTCCTGGCCCAGTGTCCTGGTCTATGTCCTCTTCCCGGGATATTCTCCTCTTGCCAGGTCATTGTCCTCTACTTGGGTCATTGCCCTCTTCCCGGGTCAATGCTCTCTCCGGGTTAGTGTCCTCCCCGGGTCAATGTCCTCTCCCGGAAATTGATATGAAAAGGCATGGTCTGCTGTGCATCATATCAGAGCTCATAACGGTACATGTACGGCAAGCCATTCCATGCTGCACAGGTCAGAGCATGTTTGTGTTCTGTCATACACAGTCAACAGCTGCGTCATGTAGCCACTATGGCCATACTGGTGAGTGCTGAGTGTAGCCGACAGAGCGCATGGTCGACGACCCACAGTCTCACTTCCCTGACGGCTCTAGACATGTGCCAGTACGCATGGGCCTTGCTGCATCCCATTGCCGTGGCAACACAGGCATTCTAAAATACAGGCCGATACCCAATGCGACCAATGTGTACTGATTATTGGTGGTTTACTTTAGATTGGCACAATCACCGGATGGTAGGCCTGATGATGATATAATGGGCAATGGACAAGTCATGTTTACTACTGAAAACAATTATTATCCATATTTTATTCTTGCTGATTACAACGTCCAATGTCCGCTTCGCTGATTCTGCTGATTGACATAATAAAGTTATTGTCTCCGCGCCGCTTATTAGTAATGAAAGGAAAGGAATGTGTTGAGGCTGTGGATTATTACGAAATACTAAGAGTCTGACAGCGTATCTGTGTGTGTGTGGTGTGTGTCTATGCTTTCTGTCATGCTACCCTGCAGTTCAAGGTGCCCAAGATCGACATGTCCTCTGCCTTCGACGGCGCTCCCGATGTCCAGATCGGTCCGCTGACTGTCAGCGGCCGCAAACGCCGCTCGTTCTTCAGCGATATCGGCGATGTTGTCCACGACATCGGTACAGTCTACCAGGTATGAGACACACATACACACACATACACACAGACACGCACACACACACATGCACACACACACACACACACAGACACGCACACACCATTTGAACCATTTGACGCCCATCGCCGGAGGCGATGATAGCGATGCCACAGCAGGAGCCATAGCAGCTTGTGCTGGGATTGCACCATTCAACAGCTTGCAAGGCTGAAAAACTGACCGCCCCTATTCAGCCTAGTGCGCGCACACACGCACACACGCACACACACGCACGCACACACACATATACACACACATGATGAGTTCACACAATCCCTCAATGCATACCCCCTCTTCCACTAATGATGTGTGTTCCCTCTCCCATCACCACATGGACCATTATGCTCACCCCGAGATCTCTTGTTGCGAGGATGACCACTCAATCGGCACGCTAGCCAGCCCCTAATTTTGTATTTGCTTATGCTCTTCCGGTTTGTGTTCACTAGTAAAGCACACATCTAGATTTGGTGGGTGAGTGGGTGGGTGAGTGGGTGGGTGAGTGGGTGGGTGAGTGGGGGGTGAGTGAGTGGGTGGGTGAGTGGGGGGTGGGTGAGTGGGTGGGTGAGTGGGTGGGTGAGTGGGTGGAGATCAGAATGGTGTGTTTTTCCACACAAATACAGACCAGTAGATATTGAGGTACTGGTTTCCCACATGGTCAGTGGATATCCGGACGCAGTACACATACAGTGGATGTGTGCTTGCGTCGCTGTAACAGAGTCGGTGTGAACTGTGTCGACTACCCCCCACCCCCCACCCCCCACCCCACCCCCACACACACATGCACATACACACCCTCCGGCATAGGGGGAATTTTCAGTGCTATGCAGCCGTAAGATCGACTGGTAGTATGCGCTTGTTCTTGACCCGCTTCAAGGCCCAGTCTCCTATGCAAGGGGGTCTGCTCTCTATATGGCAGTCTGTATGTGACATGCAGGACCTACTGGTGATTTACAGAGCATCTCTCATCACACCCGGCATTCCTCAACGAGCTACAGCGTCGTGGCGCTCCAATTATCCTTCATGCATTCATCGCCAAAATGAATAGTTGCAGAAATACCGTAGGTATGGGTGATAGCCAAAAGATAAGAGGAAAGAGGAAAAATGATACTGGTAGATTGCGGTGAGAGAAGAACCAACAACGGTTCTGATTTCCTCTCCCTGTGCAGATTGTCCATCCCATCACCAAGGCTGTTGAGAGCACCATCAAGATCCTCCACGATAAGTCCCACGGTGGCACCAACGGTTAGTTCTTGGGTGTCAGTTTTCAAACTGTGTATAGTGGATAGGCTGGTGCATGACCTCGGTCAGAGGCATTTTCCCTCTTTGATCACGCACTTTGCTGATCTATGCCCTGGGGATGTCACTACTTTTGTTAAGGTGCGCGAGCTCCACTGAAGCCTTTTCATAACCTTTACAAACCCTAAACCATCACTGATGCAAGTGGTCTATTTCCTGCAAATGGGTGTGTTGTTGATGATACAGGGTTTATCAATGTGATGGAAAAGCTCTCTCCCCCCTTCTTTCAGCAGGTTTCCTCAACCCTGTTGCCACTGTTGCCACTGCTGCTGCTGCTGCTGCTGCTGTTGCTGCTGTTGCTGCTGCTGCTGTTGCTGCTGCTGCTGCTGCTGATGCTGTTGCTGCTGCTGCTGCTGCTGCTGCTGCTGCTGTTGCTGCTGTTGCTGGTGCTGCTACTGCTGCTGCTCCTGCTGCTGCTGCTGCTGCTGTTGCTGCTGCTGTTGCTGCTGCTGTGGCCGCTGCTGCCGCTGCTGTTGCTGCTGCTGCTGCTGTTGCTGCTGCTGCTGTTGCTGCTGTTGCTGCTGCCGCTGTTGCTGCTGCTGTTGCTGCTGCTGCTGTTGCTGCTGCTGCTGCTCCTGTTGCTGCTGTTGCTAATGATTCTCCATCTTCTGCTGCCGCTCCCTTTACTGCTGCTGCTGCTGATGGTGGTGCTATTGCCAAGTCTTTTGTTCCCATTATCATTGTGTTCTACCTACCATGCTGCAGGTACAATCACCTATGACGTCACCAACCATACCGCCCAGTGCCGCAGCCGCTTCAGCATGCTGTACCACGACGCTCTGCATGATGTCAGTGGACTGGTATCCAGTGCCCGTGACCATCAGGTAATGCCGCGTCAAGTAACTTACTGTAGCTAATACCGATGATGTCATCAGGTTATGCCGGGTCAAGTGACTTACTGTAACTAATACCGATGATGTCATCAGGTAATGCCACGTCAAGTGACTTACTGTAGGCTGTAGCCAATACCGATGGTGTCATTAAGACACACAGAGGCAGTCACACGACCCGGCGATAGCTCGTGTACAGTCAGTGAAGTCCGATCACCACACCAGCAAATCACCCTCATAGATACTACATAGTCGAAAAAAGGTAAAAATGGCGACTGAGTTCCCGGTGGTACAGAGTATCCGCATCACAGATGTGCGAGCTACGCCTCAGATGATGATGTCATGAGCCTATGAACGATGATGTAATTGCACTGCACACCGTGTGGTGTTGTGGAATCAGTCTTGGACTGAGAGTGAATAACAACCGTCAGCTAACGTTATGACTGTGAAGTTTGGCCAGGATGACCGGTGGACAATGATGCTCATTCTATTTTTCAATTTCATTATTTCTAAATATTCGAGGAGATGACAACAATATTAAAATCGCAATAAGGAGGATGAGCTGAAGTGACATTGGACTCACCCACAGATGTACAGTCTGGCTCAGTGACATCCAGTCATGGCACTCAAGTTTGCACCTTGCACCATTTCGCTGCCCAATGTTCTTAGGTCTAGGGCTGCGCAACGCCCGGCGCGTACTTGAGTGACGAGACTGGATTTCATTGAGCAGTGCTGTGTGACCACAACCTACAGTGCTTGATTGAATGTGTGAGCATAGCATGCGTTCATCAAAATAATAGTCTTTAAAAATCTTCTTGCTTTTTTCGCGTGGAAAGTCATCTGGTGCCTCATGAGCCATTCCTGAGGATGCAAACTCAAGCCTCTTTTCCGGGCAAAAGAAACTCAATGGCTGAAAATGCGACACAAATGCAAACCCAGAAAACGAAAAAAATGTAACCCAAAAGAAATACGATGTGTGATAATGATAAACAGTATGTATGTGATGTAGTTCCACTCCAAAACTACAGGGGCATTTAAAATACAGATTAAAATACAATTCCTGAGGATGCCGAAGTTGAACTCCGTCTACCCGAGTTTCACTCAAACCATGAAGATGTCCCCCCCCCCCCTCGTGCCAACTCTCTTTCCTGTAATGTTTCTCATGCGGTTGTGTGTTGCACATGCAGACATTCATGTTCCGTCACCAGAACTCCGCCGGCTGGAAGAACCTGTCAATGTGGCAGAGCGTCACACCGCTAGTTAACCAGGCTGCCAGCTCTGTCCACTCTCTCGTTGGTCAGATCCCCGGCGTTCTACCGTGCTTCACGTGAGTATTTCTGGTGTATAAGGCATACAGCTAATCAGTGCATGGCGGCCCGGGCATGCAGCTAATCAGTGCATGGCGGCCCGGGCATACAGCTAATCAGTGCATGGCGGCCCGGGCATACAGCTAATCAGTGCATGACGGCCCGGGCATACAGCTAATCAGTGCATGGCGGCCCGGGCATACAGCTAATCAGTGCATAGCGGCCCGGGCATACAGCTAATCAGTGCATGGCGGCCCGGGTATACAGCTAATCAGTGCATGGCGGCCCGGGCATACAGCTAATCAGTGCATGACGGCCCGGGCATACAGGTAATCAGTGCATGACGGCCCGGGCATACAGCTAATCAGTGCATGGCGGCCCGGGCATACAGCTAATCAGTGCATGACGGCCCGGGCATACAGGTAATCAGTGCATGACGGCCCGGGCATACAGGTAATCAGTGCATGACGGCCCGGGCATACAGCTAATCAGTGCATGGCGGCCCGGGCATACAGCTAATCAGTGCATGACGGCCCGGGCATACAGCTAATCAGTGCATGACGGCCCGGGCATAGAGGTAATCAGTGCATGACGGCCCGGGCATACAGCTAATCAGTGCATGACGGCCCGGGCATACAGCTAATCAGTGCATGATGGCCCGGGCATACAGGTAATCAGTGCATGACGGCCCGGGCATACAGCTAATCAGTGCATGACGGCCCGGGCATACAGGTAATCAGTGCATGGCGGCCCGGGCATACAGCTAATCAGTGCATGACGGCCCGGGCATACAGCTAATCAGTGCATGGCGGCCCGGGCATACAGCTAATCAGTGCATGGCGGCCCGGGCATACAGCTAATCAGTGCATGGCGGCCCGGGCATACAGCTAATCAGTGCATGACGGCCCGGGCATACAGGTAATCAGTGCATGGCGGCCCGGGCATACAGCTAATCAGTGCATGACGGCCCGGGCATACAGCTAATCAGTGCATGGCGGCCCGGGCATACAGCTAATCAGTGCATGGCGGCCCGGGCATACAGCTAATCAGTGCATGGCGGCCCGGGCATACAGCTAATCAGTGCATGACGGCCCGGGCATACAGCTAATCAGTGCATGGCGGCCCGGGCATACAGCTAATCAGTGCATGGCGGCCCGGGCATACAGCTAATCAGTGCATGACGGCCCGGGCATACAGCTAATCAGTGCATGGCGGCCCGGGCATACAGCTAATCAGTGCATGACGGCCCGGGCATACAGGTAATCAGTGCATGACGGCCCGGGCATACAGCTAATCAGTGCATGACGGCCCGGGCATACAGCTAATCAGTGCATGACGGCCCGGGCATACAGCTAATCAGTGCATGGCGGCCCGGGCATACAGCTAATCAGTGCATGACGGCCCGGGCATACAGGTAATCAGTGCATGACGGCCCGGGCATACAGGTAATCAGTGCATGACGGCCCGGGCATACAGGTAATCAGTGCATGGCGGCCCGGGCATACAGGTAATCAGTGCATGACGGCCCGGGCATACAGCTAATCAGTGCATGGCGGCCCGGGCATACAGGTAATCAGTGCATGACGGCCCGGGCATACAGCTAATCAGTGCATGGCGGCCCGGGGTCACGAGCGGACAGTACCATGATTGTAGTATTTACTCAGGCAGTTGCGCCACAGTGTTTTCCATTTCCGCTCCTTTGCTGGTGGTATTTAACTTTTAGGCATCATTATGCACAAGAACTCGCTCATTTTGAGTAGCGATATTAGCAACTTTTGAGTTTTTTCTGAAAAATATGGATGCGATTTCAGCAACTTCCACTTGTTATGGCATGGTTGGGAAAAGCATCAGATGGAAAATAAAATTTTTTGTTATCTTTGGGGAAGGTCTACACTGTACACCTGATCAGGTGGTGGTTGTTTGTGTGTTCCTCTCTTGTTTGTGTGTTCCTCTCTTGTTTGTGTGTTCCTCTCTTGTTTGTGTGTTCCTCTCTTGTTTATGTGTTCCTCTCTTGTTTGTGTGTTCCTCTCTTGTTTATGTGTTCCTCTCTTGTTTATGTGTTCCTCTCTTGTTTGTGTGTTACTCTCTTGTTTGTGTGTTCCTCTCTTGTTTGTGTGTTCCTCTCTTGTTGATGTGTTCCTCTCTTGTTTGTGTGTTCCTCTCTTCCTTCTGCTCTGTGTAGTCATGAGCTTGGCGAACTGAAGACTCGCGTCCAGAGCTTTGCCAGCAAGTTGGGCCTTGGTCGCAAGAAGTAAGCAATGGATGCGTGCATGGGTGGTTGTTCCTTTTTTATAATAAGGGATATCTGGTATTATCGATAATTTTCATGGAATGAAATTTTTATGTACGACCCTCCCCACCCACCCACCCACTCCGTGGAACGAAGAATATATTGACTTGTTGTTGTTGTTGTTGTTGTCGTGGTTGTTATTGTTGTTGCCGCTGCTGCTGCTGCTGCTGGTGCTGCTGCTGGTGCTGCTGCTGGTGCTGGTACTGCTGCTGGTGCTGTTGTTGTTGTTGTTGTTGTTGTTGTTGTTGTTGTTGTTGTTGTTGTTGTTGTTGTTGTTGTTGTTGTTGTTGTTGTCGTCATCTGTAACTGGACTTAGGGCAGTGGGGTATTGTGCCTGCGCCAGACGAAAACAGGACCCTTGTATAATAATGAATTGAGCCTCGATCTGTAGTAAAGGTTATAGGAAGACTTGAGCTGTACTGGATTCAGCAAAACTTTGGAAAGTAGCAGATCCTAGTTCTTTGACTATGTTTCCCAGGTGCCACATGCGATTCCCTACCGTTAGGCGTTGTATCTGCCGCTAGGGTTCACCGGATGCTAGTATCAGTCATGAGTTCCCTTTGGGAATGGACACAATAATTTAATTTGTTAACTGTTTTTACAGGCGATTCTTGGGTTTGTCATGGAAGTGCAACGTCTTTGACTCCGTCAAGCAGGGCTTTGAGTGTGGTCACAGCGCCTTCGACTGCGGCGATGACATCTTGAACACAGAGGACTCGTTCGGTCTTTCACTGATCAAGGGAGTCCACGATTGCTACGACGCTGGCGACGATTGCTACCACCTGGTACATAACTGCGTGGGTGGTCTGTAAGCGGCACCTCACGTGCACGCTGAGCCCTCTCGCTGGGATTCCGTCATCGAGAAGATTACGCTGCTCAACATCTTGGCTAATTTAGGCTTTCTTGCCACCTCATTTGCTTGTTGTCACTACGAAAATAGTTTCTCAGAAACTTGTCATGTCTCCTTTCTCTCCAGCAGCATTGCGCAAATCATTTTCTTTCCTTTTTTTTTACAAAAACTACCCGTTTTAGTTGGTCCTACATGTATATCCTGTCGTTCGTCTTTGATTCAACCTGCATTTCTACAACACTCAGGTTTTCGGTTGTCTCCTGTTTTTGTTTTCTACAAAATCCACATTATCTCCAGACACAGGGGTGAATAATGGAGTGTGGTGGTGGGGCCCATTAAGCTCAGCCGACCAGAGGTCTCGGCTTCATAGCTCCGTTCGCTGCGCTTCTCACACCACGCACTTGAGAATCGCTGAAAAATGAAGATTATTTTCATGTTTCGGGCAGGTTCCAGAATTCTGAAAGATTTCGGCATTTGAAGGAGATAAACCCTGTCCTTTTGAGAAATTTAGATGCCTGCGCTGCAAGCACCCTGGACCTGCACTATTACTGAGTACTGTTGCCATGGGTGATAACCTAGTGGGGTACTGTTGCCATAGGTGATAACCTAGTGGGGTACTGTTGCCATGGGTGATAACCTAGTGGGGTACTGTTGCTATGGGTGATAACCTAGTGGGGTACTGTTGCCATGGGTGATAACCTAGTGGGGTACTCGTATGCTGGACAGTCTATGCACACACAGCTAGTATAGGCCTACAAACCACCGCACCCCTACACACAGATTAAAAATATAAAAAAATTACACGCAGATTAATAATCATTGCACATCACTACTCCCTGATTACAAGGGTTGAAATGAAGGCAAGGCACCGCCATTAGTCTGCAACTCAGTTTCATCATTCGACCTCACTCCACATGACTGAATGCACAATCTGACTAAGCTAAAAGAGAACTCAGGATTTTGTATGATTGTAAAAATTATTTCAAGGATTCCCCAGAGCCTGCCGTTGAGGCCTATCGAGCATTCCCCAGAGCCTGCCGTTGAGGTCTATCGAGGATTCCCCAGAGCCTGCTGTTGAGGCCTATTGAGGGGATCTCCATTCCTGTCCAGTTAGAATGACAATAATTATGAGAATACAAAGTGTGATACGTGTAAAGGCCTCTTTTACGGGCAAACAGAATACAATTGACAGTGGCATGGCGAATGATTAGAACACACCAAAAAATGAAAACAATTGTATGTGTGAAAAACGCAAAAAACGAGAAACAAAAAACAAAAAACAAAAAAACACCAAAAACAAAAACAAAACAAACAAAAAAAACCAAAAAACAACAGGAAAATACAAGGGCACTGTCCTGCCCACCATCGTCTCCAAAACCTCACAGCCGGCCCTCCGAGATACAAAGTGTGATACGTGTAAAGCCAGTAACGTCAGCTAGTCTCACATCACAGCCGAAAATACACAAGCACGTATCACGAAGATGAGCACACGTGACAAGTACAAGCCCATGTAAAGTTGCGGCAATTTCAGCGTTGCCGTTGAGCGGCCTTCCCATTGCGATTGAGTGAGCAAGTGATGTCTGAAGCGAGGTGGTGCAGTTGTGGAGTATCGAGACTGTTCTTTAGCAAGGGAGAGCCTGACGAAGACGATTAAGTTTTAAGTGATCGGAGGCACCCAGGGGGCTCAGGGATTCAATGGACGTGAACTTCTCTGGAATTCGACCTGTTTATGTAATTGTAGTGTGCTCCAGAGTCCAACCAGGGAGTCAGTCCAGATGGTGAGTCAATCACAAGGAGGCGCGAGCTTTAACGTTGAAAGTACAGTCATGCACATATACTTCAAGTAGGCACAACAGTAAACACATTCATAGTTTGAGGGAATGGAAAAGGGAAACGTTTGAGAAAAACATCTTTACTGTCACCACCAGAACTCCAACCAGGGATCGTCGCTTTAGGCCAGCGATGCTCTACCCACTGAGCTATGGTGCAGCTGTCATCAAAGTAGAAACCGTTCAGCATTGGTAAAAACCTTGAGACGATAACATTGTAAAAGTGTAAACGTGTCTCAAAGTTTCTAGTTTTCCTAACCACTGGAGAGCTTCTCTTCTTTTGAAACAGTCATAGTGACTATTACTTACTGTAAAGTGTAAGACATGTTATTATAACGAGTCGCAAATTTAACGATTGTCCAAAATTCATAAGCTAACGAGAAGATATGTTAACGATCTTGCAGTATTCTGCCATATCCCCACACAGCATATAAGCAGTACGGCCTCAACGAATCTTATTATAACGAAGAAATGTCATCCGTTGAAACGTTAGATTTGCTTCCTCGTACATGTCTATTACCGTACTGGCAATATATGTTGCCGCAGTGAGGCCATGAAGCGTTACATTGGCACTTGTTTGCCGCACGCAGGGCGTTACATGCAAAGTCGCACAGGAGCCGTTACACAGGTTTCTATATTGCCGCAGTCCTTTTTTTGCTATTGCCGCATCACTTTTTTTGCGATTGCCGCATCATTTTTTTTGCTTTTGCCGCATCATTTTTTCTTTTCATCCACATTGAAGGCACAGAAATTCAGTTGCTATCCAACTGTTACAAACCCGACGGCAAAGGGCGACAACGATATCAATAGAAGACTGTATATTTTAACTATCAGAGTGATCTGTTCACAAAAACACGCTTTCTCGTTTGCTCACGAACTTTCTTCTGCTTCACTAAAACTTTCTTTGCACGATCAGCAGCAATCCTGTTTTTCGTCTCCTTTCTCTCCTCATCCTTTCCTTTTTCACTTTCCTTGGGCGTGATTTTCTTCACGCCGAAGGCGAATAGAGACTTCTGCATTGTCACAAGGAAACTGGTAAACACATCGCTCTTCTTCGCAAAACGACCTCGGGAAAGAAGAAACCATTGAGATCGCCAACCACTGAATGATGCGCCTTCGAGTGTCAGGACTTCCTGCTGCGTCCAGTTTTGAACTTTTCACCACGCGGTACACGTGCTTTCACAGTTTCAGCCTTTTTTTGCAGTGCAAACTGCAATGAAAAGATCGCCGCACCCCGCCGGACGCGCGTTACGAACTCTACGAAAATTTGTCGCACTAGCCTGGTCGCGCGTTACGCCGCACCCCCCTGCGTTACGCGTTACGCGGCAACATATATTGCCAGTACGGTAGTGAGTCTCTGCATCTTCAAGTACGTGCCAGCTGACTACGTACGGTATATTGGACATGTAAGGGGAGAAGAAATCGATTTTCTTCAGCACTTGTCATGCACTCCTTGCTAAAATTATCGGATTTATTTGCCTACTACTGGTCAGTACTAGTACTACTAGTAGGTCAGCTATCATGGTTATTCACCTGAAGACTGCGTGGCACTGGCAGATGGTGACAGAGACAGCCGCCTTGGCGCCACGGCTCATCAGGAGCACGACCAAGGCAAGGTGTCCGAAGTCGGAGAGATCTGACAAGTCGAGATGCTGTTTTTCCACTGTTGTTCACTTTCGCAAGATTTTTCACAACGTCTCGGCGTAAATCATCGCACAGGAACACTGGTACATGGTAGATCTATTTCTGAACGAGAAGCGGTTGTTTGATTCGCTTTTCTTTATCCACGCGTGACATTTTTAGACCTTGGAAGGCCTTTATCTAACCTTCTAAGCCGTGATCGTTAGTGGTGTGTAGCACGATTCTCAGCCAGGCGATTAGACGACGCTCTCTCCACCTGTGTGTTCGAAGGTTGGAGGAGGCGCGAACTTGACGCGTGCGTTTCATTTCATTCGCACAGCGCTCTACCGTTGCGAGAAAGCAGCGAGTGAGAACATCGCACACCGCTAGCACGGACCACAAGCTGCTGCAGAGATCATGGGAAGCTGTCTAGCTAGGATTCTCCGCAAGAACAGAGACCCAGGCTATGAGCGGGCCACTCGCAATGCAGAGGATGCGTTCGACAGCGATTCGGACACGGACGAACCACTGCTCCGCGAAAGCGAGACACCAGCTAGTTCCGGGGCAGGCAGAGAAGGCCAAGTGGTACCCAAACTTCTGGTGAGTGCTGGGCAATGGCTCGTGTCTCATCATTGTCTGTGGAGATGGTGATGGCGAATGGTATGTGCATGAGACTAGCGGGACAGTTGTGGGCTGCACACCAAGACTCAAGAGGGAAAACTACCCAGAAAGGAAGGGAGGGCGGGGGCACAAGAACATCAGGATATCCCCGTGCAAGCTGCCATTCAAACTAACTCCCATGGACGTTGGGGACGTGCGCATATGTGTGAGAGGGAGGGGGAGGGGGAAGTATTTCAGCATGCTCACGCAAGTAATAGAATGTGAATTGAATCACAGCTGCATAGTCAGAAAGCATGAAATCTGTGTAGATGGATTCGCCTGTTCAGCAGCTTTGTACACCATTTTTCACGGGACATTCGGATGACAATAGACCTCTCAGACATGTATTCCGTGCTAGTGTAACATGTTACGTGCCTTCAGAACCCTGAGACAGAGTGACTGTGTGTTTGCTCGCACGCGCGCATGTGAGTGTGTGTGTTTGCGTGTGTGTGTATGTGTTTGTGGACGTGTGTGCATGCATGGACCTCTGCATTCTCGTGCGGGAAATGCTGTAGGTTGAGTCGGAGTACCATGATGACGATTCCGGGGACGAGGGTGCCGGTAATAGACACGATGACGTTGATGGAGATGAACAAGTTGATCAGCATCAGATGGGAGACATGACAGCGGAAGCATTCGATGCTCTGGCTACAGCCGCCTTGGAAGCCACGGTAAAGTCCCTCGTTCCGGAATTGGACACGCCCGTTCCTGCCAACACACCGGCAGATGGAAACCTACTAGATCTCTGAGCAAATAGCCGGCTAATTGCCGCCAGCCCCTTGTACCATGTAAGACGGGAGACTGAGCGAGTTATGTTTACGTAACGACAGCAAGTACACTCATATAGCTCTACACAGCTAGTTGTACTGTGTTGGTGTGAGAGCGTGTTGACCCCCTGCCCTGTACGTTATGCCGGCATGACACATATGCAAGGGTGGTATTACTGGTACATGGATGTGGAACCTGTCCTAATGATGTCATTGTCATTTTGATGATGTCATTTTCATCATTTTTCAACCTAGCGGACGTATCACGTCATCATCTGCCTTTTTCCCTCCATTCACCAATTTCTTTTTCTTTCTTCCCTCTTCTCTTTCTTTATCTCTGTTTGTCTTTGAACCCCCTTACTTCTCCATGTGGCTATATGATAGGGACCGTATCTTGCATTTTGTCAAGCTATACTGATTCTGTAAATTACCCAGTACAGGTGACTGCGGTAGCGTTTATAATAATCAATACTTTATGGTCGGGTAGGCTTGATCATACTTATCACAATCATATACATGTAATTACTCTCATATTCACGCGCACATAGGGTCACACATGTGTGAGCATACGCAATGCTACATGTGACTTGTAGAGGGAAGTGCAGTTTAGACCGACATGCGTTTGCGATGCTAAAGTGCTGCGTGAATGATGATCTCTGTTTCTTGAAAACCGGAGTCGGTGTGTGTGCGTGTGTGTGTGTGTGTATTTGTGGGTGCACATTCAGTGCATTTGCAGATTTGCGTGCTTCTCTTGCGACGGGCGTATACCTGGTACATGTCCGGCGCTCGAGATACTCCAGATTGTGGGACCAACTCATGCCTGAGTCAAAGATGACTCCAAGGTGTTTGTGGTGGCTAACAATTGGGATGGGCGTCCGGTCGTCAGGGAAGTGGAATAGGTACGGGTCGATGTGGGAAAGATCGGAACGCGGATGAGGTGGAATGCACAATATGACAGTCTTTCCAGCATTAGGTCGAAGTTTCCAGAGACGCATCCATTCAAACATTGAGCGAATTTCCGACTGCAAAGAATTACACGCCATGGGCAGGGAACGTTCAGATGCCACAAGAGTAGTATCATCGGCGTACAGGGAGGTATTTGGAACGCGAGTTAAGTCATTTACATAGAGCAAGAAGAGAAGAGGACCAAGTATTGAGCCCTGTGGCACACCGGAACAGACTTCGAGCGGTTGGGACAGCGAACCTGATACCCTGACCTGTTGGACTCGGCAGGATAGGTAGCTTTCGAGCCACCGCAGAACATTGCCACCAATGTTAAAGGAGGCGACTTTGGCCAACAAACCACGGTGCCACACTGTATCAAAGGCCTTTGATAGGTCGAAGAAACAAACTAGGCTGAAGTAGTCCATGATTGTACACACATACATGTACATGTATGTGTGTACAATCATGGACGTGTATATGTGCTCACTACTGCCTGGGGTGGTGAGTGTGATGAATGGACTACATACTACTAAGTGGTCATTGGCTACGCCAGCCATGTATTGCTTGGAATAAAATAAAATTAATAAATAAAAGGTATTACCTGTACATGATGGCTAGGCATATGCGGATAATGTCGGCAGAAAAATTGGCAGAAGTCGGTACTTTTTCTGGTAAGTTTCATGCATGTTTGGTATGTGGATAAAGAAATGGAGCAGAATTCGAGGAATTGCCCGCCATAAGGTTTGTATGGTTCTGTCAATTTCACTGCTTTTCGAGCAGAATCCGCCAATGCCTAGTACTCGAGACTCGACAAGTCGAGTGTCGGCATGTCACTCGCCATCATCACTAAGTCAATCTACGGACGGTTCCCGATCGATCGGAGTTGTCCTAAGCTAGAGACTCCTATCCTACTGATAGTACTCCTATCCTACTGATAGTACTCCTGTCCTACTGATAGTACTGACAGTACTGCAGACAGTGTAGTACAATGACTATGTACCAGATGTACATGATGCATGTAGGGGGTAGCTGCAGTCTGGAACTGCACACTGTCGCGGTCGGTGTCGGCAAGAGTACAATCATGAAAACTAAACCTTTTCATGTACTCGTACTCTTGGTCTTGGTGTCGACGACACTGGCAGTGCGAGGCCCGTTGGCTTGACACCCGAAACCGTGGTGAAAAGACGCTGTCGCGTCGCGAAGTCGCACCCGAACACTGCATGCGCCATCATGCAGTAAAATGCAGTCTGTCCAGATTTGTAACGATTCCGCCGTACCGTGTCAGTGTGTGTGTGTGTGTGTGAGTGTAGATCTACGTGCACATTTTTATACACGTCATGTAAGTACAAGACATTGGTGTAGTAACATGCATAATGATCAACAGTTACTGTCATTTGAAAACATTGGATTTGGAGTCAGGTTGAACACCAAACCCATTTTCCAATCTCCACTGCTGGGAGTCGAGGATCCTTTGCTCACTAACTTCAATAACTAGGGAGACGTAGGAGTACAAAATCCAGCGCGTGACTATTGAGATTCCCGTTCCGTGTCCCAAAATACACTGAAGACAGCGGCGTCGAACGAGTTGACGGCATTTCTCCCATCGCTGTTCCCACAGAAAAATTCTAAGGAGCGATTTTTTTATTGCTTCTGAACTGGGATATGTTTGCAGGACGCTGATCGTGTAGTACTTGGTTTGGCATGCTGAACAGTCACACATCTTGTTGAAGGTAAACTAAGGACTAGGTGTATATAGATCATCACTCAACTCGCCAACACCGCGGCTAAGGTCTGTTGGTTCGCTAAAGCCAACGCAGCAGCGAGCTCAGTCGTCATGGTTCGCATCAGTTTGGAGCTGCTCACGCGCTGCATCAACCCAGCAAAGCGGCGGAAAGGCGAGACACTGGAGAGATACCTACGGCGTGCCACACATCTACAGCTGAACAACAGGGAGATTGAGGCTATAGTAAGTTTTCAATGCACTGGCTATGACTGCGCAATTATTCAAGTTTCGCAGATTTTCTAATTTGGTGTGTGCGAATCAGGGAGTAGTAAAATACCATGGGCCTTATACTACAGTACTCCCTGGTGCGAATGATATACCGTAACGTATGTTGTGTGTGGTATGTATTGTACAGTACTTCAGTATGCTTTGTAGCTTGTGAGTGAGTCAGTGGCAAACCAGTGCTTCGGATGCCAGACTGACATTGCACACAAAACGCGCGAAATAACGATCAATGGCACACCTTTACATACAGTTCACATGTGGATGCATCCTGTTTAGGGGTCGTCCACAAAGGTCGGAAATGAAAAACCCGAATAGTGGCCAAATTTAGCTAGACACCCACACCCCACCCCTTGGTTGGGGACACTATAGTTTTTCGCTCGAGTTTCACATAGGTCAGCCCTAGCAATCCAATTACCGCATGACATCATACTCGTGTAATTTGCCGTTTCACAAAATTTAATAAAATATCCGCCAAGCACTTTTCCACCCACCCCTCCTTTTAGCCACTGGATGGATTTTTCTAGGAGTCAAACGGGTGTACCGGGTACCCGAGTACCCGCCCGTTAATCTCAGGTACCGTTAGTAAAAGGGTACCCGTTTGGATTTCGATGATCCAGTCAGTACGAAACAACACATCTGGGATCACGCATTCCCGGCGGGAGTCAATTATTTACAACTCCACGCTGGATGTCTGCATTGTTGTTGCATTTTCGTACCTAGTAGATCTACCTCTGCAGCTATCAGACACAAATCAATTTGCGAATCATAATGTGATATCAAAATACAACCTGAGAACAGATAAATAAGGCTAAAGGGTGCCCGTTAACCCGTCGGTCAAGAAAATTACCCGCTCGTTAGTTAACGGATGACCCCTTGGTAGGCATTAAAAAACCAGCCAAACTCCTGACATAACCAACACCATTGTGCAGGAGAATTTGTTCTTTATAACGGAAGTTTGTTATAACAGAAATGAACTTACACTGTGGGTTAAAACTGGGACCTGGACGACGGTTTGCTGTGTGACGAAATTCGTTATCTTCGATGTCGTTATAATTGGAGTCGACTATAAGCCAATTGGCGTTGAGCTACCTTTATCGTACGTCACTGTGTCTCTGAACAGTTGGAGATGCTTATCTCTGTGTTCCTGTCCCGCCGTAGCTGGTTTCAGTGCCATCTGGAGATGTGCAGTTCAGTACGGGTGCTGCATCTCTACGAGAATTGTACTCGTATAGAGCGTATCCCCCCTACCCTGCTTTGGCTAGAACCCTCGTCAGGGCGTCTGTGAGCAGTTGTGTGCTTTGCTCTATGCTGTGCGCCGTGGTGTGTTCCCCCTGTCCTTGTCGTGGCTGGTTTCAGTGTCATCTGGACATGTGCAGTTCACTACGAGTTCTGTATCTCTATGAGAACTGCATAGAGCGTATTGAGGGGCTGGACAACCTGCCCACCATCACCAACCTGTACTTGCAGAAGAATGTCATCACGCGTATGGAGAACCTCCACGTCTTACCACACCTTACCAAACTGTAAGTAGTACACAGGGTCATGGGTAACGATTATGGGAGGTGTGAATGAGGTCATTGCATGTGTGAATGAGGTCATATGATGAGGTCATCACATGTGTGAATGAGGCCATTGAATGTGCGAATGAGGTCACATGATGAGGTGACTGTGTTCGTTGTAGTTTACGAACAATTCTATGACGTCTATAGCTCTCCATCAATTCTTTAGTTATCATATTCAATTGTTGTTTGTTGTTTCCCCGGTGTGATGCAGGTACCTTGGCAATAACGGCATCACTGTAGTGGAAGGCGTAGGGGAGCTGCCAGAGTTGAGAGAACTACACGTTGAATACCAGCAGTTACCGCCTGGTGAGTCGACGGGGACTGCTCTAACACCTTGCTGGTGCTGCTGGTTTACACACACACATCCACACACACACAAACACACACCCACACACAGACGAACGCACGCACACATACACATACACACACAAAACCATACAATACAATAATGCCCATCCGCCGATGATGGCAGGTCCTGAAAGGACCGACAGTGTTTCAGTCACGGGGAACAGAACTTCGAGTGGCGAGTGAGATCCTGGTGACGGGGAAAATCTCAGCCTCAGTGGCACCTGAAATCCCGAGACACAGGTTTTAGGCGGCTGGATGGTGTTGCAGGCCAGTCTCCACGCACGACGGTCCTCGGCTAGGCTGTACCAGACATTGATATGACGTTCCTCTAGGTCAATCACGATGTTGTCACGCCAACGCTTGCCTGGCCCGTGGCGAGGGCGCGTCTTCTGGAGCTCACCAAACAATACATACTTCGCATTCTGTCGTCCGACATGCCCCAGCCAGCGAAGACGGCACACAAACACACACACACACACACACACGCACACTCACTAGACGGGATACCTACTAACACACATCGTTTGCTGCTGGGTCTGTTACTGTGAAGTGTTTCCACCTCAAGCACATGCGCTCACTGGCCGACCTCATCACACCTGCAACAAGCTTTAGGTACTGACAATGTAATTTTCCTCCATACAGAGAGCCCATTTTGCAGGACAGTGGCGTAGGACACGCTACGGTGACTACGGTATTGACCATACTATTTTTGTCCCAGGTACCCTGTGAATCAATGAAAAGCACTGATTTGGGCTGTAAATTCGAAAAATTTCCGAGGAGCCACTCAAACCCCACAAGTGCTATTGTAGTTCAGGTGGTTCACCGTGCCACCCTAATATACCTTGCGACGTTGCCCCTGTTGGAGGTGGAATTATTTCATTGATAACAGGCCTAAAGCGGCTGCTTACCTTTTTAGTACAATGTCTGTGACTGTTCTTGTTTCACCCTGTGCAGGAGAAGAGATACTGTTTGATCCACTGTGTATGTATCAGCTAGCACAGTCACTGACGGTTCTAAACATTTCCGGAAACGGGCTCAGCAGTTTAAGGCCGGTGGCATGCCTGACAGAGCTCATTACGCTCACTGCGGCTGATAATCAACTCTCTGATCTCAAGGTAAGGTTGTCGTGCATGACATGATCACGTGTGGTGTTGCACGAATAGTGACAGTATCACTGCTCTTGCTGGTGGCGGCGGTTATGCTGCTGTTATCAGAGTGGTTTGCTCTCCTGGTTAGCATGGTTGCAATCACGGTTGCTGCTGCTCTTGCTGCTGCTGCTGCTGCTGCTGCTGCTATTAGTGGTGGCAGTGGAGTTGGTGGCAGTGTCAGCGCCAATGATTGTTCCTGTCGCTCTCATGGTCGCTGATGCCGCTGCTGTTCGTGGTGGTATTGGTTGCTTGTGCCAATGCTGCTCTCGTTCGCGTTGTTTCTGCGGCTATTATCCTTGCTACTCATACACGAGTGTAGGTTGGATCATTTCTCTATCGTTATCCGCACTACTGTGATATGGTGTTCTTGCTAACGATATAATGTGTGTGTCACCTTCATCTGACTGTGTCCGCAGGAAGTACTGCAGATCTTGCAAAGCTGGAGACGTCTGGAGCGCGTGGATTTCTCCGGCAACCCGCTGTGCGTCCGCTCTCGCTACATGGACAACATAATATGCGTGGCACCCAGACTAGGTACAGTTTCAATGGCAACAGCACCATACAATGTGGTGTTAGAGTTAGAGCTAGTCCTGGGGATGTCTACAGCAGGGTTCTAGCCCGGTCAAAATAGAAGATGCGGGCGGAAGAAATAGCTACCCTGTAACGTATTACTCCATTTCCAAAATTGTCTTGCCGTGAAAATGCAACACACGGGAGCGAAACCCCGACTTCACCCCCAGACAAATGTGCCTTTATGATCCCTCTGTTAGTGACTTTTGACTGCTTTTTCGTTGAATCGCCTGAAAAAAATCGACAAATGAGTAGGGGGTCCCATTATCCCTGGCGCGCTCAATCAGAGCATGGGGGGGGGGGGTAGCGCGCTCAATCAGAGTAGGGGGTGTTTAGCGCTCAATCTGGGGGGGGGGGGGGGTGCTGACCCCCCTGCGATCCTTTGGCTAGACCTCTGCTACAGTGCATGGATAGTCATCAGTGTTGAACAGCAATACCACAGTACACAGTGCTGCATCTGATGCTGGATTTACCGGTGTCAGCGGTCGTTGTGAGTTCTTTCGGGAACGGACACGATAATTTACTTCTCTTTTTGCCAAAGCTGGTCAATAACATGTGATCACAGTACACAGCAGGGCACTGTGCAGTCCTAGACATGTGAACACTGGGATGCGAACTGGTGCAGGGCCTAAACATGATTCACACGATTAGATCTTTTTCAGCAGAACGGTAGTACTGACCAAACAAGGGTTGAGTACTTGTAAAGTATAGTACGCAGGGGTGTCGGACACGCTGCCGTCACTACCACTCTTTGCCCCGGTCAACCTGTGAATCGATAAGAAGCACTGATCTGGGAACTAGATTTCGAAAATTTCCTGAAGAACAACCCCAACTCACGAGTAAATTGTACTTCAGGTGGCTGGCCGTGCCACACTAAATTACCTTCCGGCGCCCCTGCATCCCTATTACAATGTACTAATCGTAGTGTCCACTACGTGTTCTCCTTATTCAGTACTGCTGGACCGCAAGGAGATATCACCCATGCTGCGGGACTTTGTCCAGCGCTGGAAGATGTCCAAGGACAAGCGACGGCTGGAGCGACGGACACAGAAGCAACAACAGCAGCAGAGAGGCTTTGGAGCAACAGGTGGCTCACATGGTGCGCCCATGTTCGGTGCTGGTGGCGGTGGATCACAGACCCACGGTCTTGGCTCATCGTTGTCAATGGGCACAGCCGGCAGTGCAATGTCATTGACTGGCTCTTCACATCTTGGTGATCACCGACTGGCACATCGCTCACCAGCGTCCAAGGCTGTACACGAAGCGAGAACACGGTAAGCGAGCCAGAGACGGAACGTGTATGTGTGCATGTGTGTATGCGAGTGCACTCTACTATTGCGGCTATGCTTGGGATACGAGTGCGCACATAATTGTATTCACTGCGTATGGTGTGTAACCCTGTGTGTATGTATTTGTGTGTCCATGTGCGTCCAGGTTTCCAGACATATTTGCACCGCCGCGCATGCTTCACGGCGGGGCCACTGGCGGAGGAGGCCGTAGCAGTAAGGGCGTACACAGTCGTCGCTACGACAGCAACCTTTTCACCGGCAGTAACGTTCCAGAGACAATCGGTCTACCGCCAGAGCCTCAGCTGCCAATGACCACGCAGCCACAGTAGGCTACGCACGGTGTGGTGTGGATGCAGACGTTGTACAGTGTCTCCAAGACGAATAACCTGCCAGAGTCCATGACGATCATTCTGCTCCTCTAGCGGCTGTTATGTGTGGTGGGAATGTTTATTCGGAACGCGCGTTGCGGGTCTCCGGAACGATTGCCAAGTGAGAATGTTATGTCGTGTTGACACATCACGGACATGCTACGCCTTGAGATGATTTTAGGTGATGCTGGTGCCTGACACTCAGCATAGCCACTTGATCTTTATACCTTACTGAGAATGGTTGTATAATCATATGATCAACATTCTAGCATTTTCCATGGCTAGAATGGTGATCAATGACATGCACACACACACACACACACACACACACACACACACACACACACACACGCATACACTCACTCACACACACACACACACACACACACACACACACACACACACACACACACACACACACACACCACACACACACCACACACACACACAGTGTCCGAACCAGCCAACACTGTGTGCATGTAAATGAAGATGAAATTCAAGATATCTGAACACTAGATCGTCAGCATACATTGGGCTAGATATCGCAAACCCACGGCTGATACTCGACTAATCTCTGATATGGACTGGGATTCTGCTAGATTTTATCCCGTTGTGTTGTGTCAGGATTTGGCTAGAGCCCAATCTAACCTCCCAATGGTTAGTGTATGTACATGTAGTATCACTACTCTACACCTTCTGTGCTTGTATCATGTATCACTGCCACTCCTTGAATAGTACATCAGATATTCTATAGTTCAGGCACCCGTAGTCTGCCTCGAGGTCAGCCCAAATATTGACCTGTGGCACGGGATACATTCTTCGCACTACCGAACATCTGCACGCTAGCTTAGCGTCGGCCGTGGCTGCATGCAGCTAACAAACATTCTGCGCCGGCTCGCAATAATGATGTTATCTTTCTCACACATAGGCCACTCTATCGTGTAGATCATCCCCCCCCCCCCCCCTCGTCCACTGGTTTTGACACTGAACTTGAAAGAATTGATCAATTAACTTAAGCTGACTTCTATTATTGTAAATTTGTAGTGCTTGAGTGGACACATGTTTGGCAGCGTAAATTTCACGCAACTGAGTATTTGTTTCATACTTCAAAATATTAATATTATCCTTCATACCTACCGCTTTGTGAACGTCTGATTGGCAAAATTTAATATAGCATGTCGCTTTGCATGTTGCCTTGCGGTTTTTCATTTGGATGTTTGCAAAGATACGGTGCAGGGGATATTCTTAATGGAAACATTATCTGAAACTTGCGGCAACTTTCCTCACTGGTCTTCTTGAGCACATACTAGCAAGCCATTGCCTGACTTCAGTGCTAGTATTCCATTGAGGCAGAAAGGGTACGAGTCAGACACACGGTGACCAGAATTGCACTAGTCTGAGTATTCTCCCTTTCTCTACAGTCTGATGTACGGTGTGAGGATTACCTTTTGGATGATGCAATGTGTTATTGTTACTGACATCATACATGGCGTCATGTAAGACTGTAACTGACATCAAGGACGACATTATGACTGTATGCTTTTACTAGTAGCTTACTTGTTACTAGTACGGGTGTAATCGCTAGGTTTGTCTTTAGATCTACTTGTACTTGTACAAATAATTATGCAGGTGCAGTGACATCAGACACCGAAGAACAGCCATGCTAGAACATCACCAATTATTATTAGTTAACCTTTTTGAAGATCTCAGGACGTAGATATACGTCCCAGTTTCTTTTTTGTTTTTGTTTACACCATGTGCCTGACTGTGTCCGTGTATGTGGATGCACACGTCAAGAATGGGAATGAAGATGCTGGCGGAATGGCTTGACAATACTACTGTACCATCACTTGGCTGCAGCGTGACTGTGTGTACTAACACAGGTACTAGCTAACCTTCCAAGTACATCATGTGTACTGTATGCTACTCAATCTGCGGACAGAGCTGTTTCGTCCTTTGTGGACTCGTCAGCCTACTGTCTAACACTTTGAAGAAAAAAAAATACTGCAGTAGCGTAAACAAATTAACTGATCACGTGAGAGTCAGTCAATAACAAACTAAGTTTTGAAACTCGAGTAGTTGAGCCAATAATAATAAAAAAGTCGGATAGCGCTACGGAGATGTGTTGAAGCTAGGTGTCAGGACGTCGAATGTCGAATGTCTCAGTACTCTGACAGTTTTGTGCCTAGTTGTTGCACTTTCTAATCTAGTTACCATGGTTACAGTGGTGCAGAGTTACTCTTCACTCGTTTCCATAATTATGTGTTTTTCCCTTCCTCGACTGAGTTTTCCGCGTCCGCATGAACGCTACCGCCTTCAACTGATCAAGGAGCAGATTTAGCTCCTGAAGCGGTGGGAGGTGAGTGCATGTACATGTAGATGAGACCCACAAAAAAAGTGGTCAAAGACCCATTCCACTTGCTGCATCTACGGCGTAAGAAGTATCATATCCATTCCCTATTACCCACTGAGTTGACGATGACGCCACGCTCAACCTATTTTGGACATGTGTGGCTTGCGCCTCTTAAAAATATCCTGCGCAACACCTTCCCAAGTTTCCAACTACGAGCTCAGGAACTGATCGGCGGAAGTCAGACAAGGTGGGTAAGAGGGAAGGATAGTGATGTGACAGCTGTCTGCAAACTGCAAACTGTGACTCGCGTCCAAAGCCGCGACTGAGCAGGCTCATACAGATACTTGTACTAGTATTTTAGTTTCTGTTCATGTCGTTGATGAGAATGTACGACAATCGAAGCAGACACGCTCCCGTTATAGTTGTGTGCTGGTGATTTTCTAGCATCGTGAGGCCTCGGGTCCTTCGATTCGTTTGCCTGTTCAGGCGAAGCAAGTTATATTCCACGTCCACTAGTACTACATGTGACCCCCTACTGGCCCTAGGCTCTACATTCAGTCTACAGTAGGTTACATAAACATGTAGGATTATGATTCTCTCTTCAAGGAGTGCACCGACAGGACTCAACCACACACACACACACCACACAGCTACACTAGTTACAGAGTCCCAACTTACTTCAGATCAGTCCGTGCATTCAAAGCTCTCTCTCTCTCTCTCTCTCTCTCTCTCTCTCTCTCTCTCTCTCTCTCTCTCTCTCTCTCTCTCTCTCTCTCTCTCTCTCTCTCTCTCTCTCTCTCTCTCTCTCTCTCTCTCTCTCTCTCTCTCTCTCTCTCTCTCTCTCTCTCTCTCGCGTCATGCAGGGACTTCTTTCCTTTTTCTACCGGCCAAACATGATACAGTACAGTGTACAGTACTAGTCGGCAGGATGCAGCTATCCTTACAACGATGTTTGAACAATTATCATCACGTGTACCGGTATAGTGGTTCGAGTCCTGGAGGTGACAGTCAATTTTTCTTTCAGACCTTTCCGGTTATCTTTCCCTCAAACCAGTGAACATGTATATGGCTGGATTGTTATTAGCTCTATTTAGTTGCTATTCACTCTATATAGTGAATAGCAACTAAATAGAGCGGTTGTCAGTTGACAAACCCCCTTTTATTTACAATGCGAGTGCGTGATGTCCACCACTTTCTGAACGATTGTAATTCACGGTAGTTATAACGTTTACTAGAGTGCGTCAACTACGACTCATTCCAGTGACAGATGAGAACATAACGAGTGGACTATAGTCTAAAGGTGTTCAGTTGCTGATGTGCTAACGAAACGGGATAGTTTCGCTCGGCAGTGGGAGAATGCCACGCTGTCGCGGCCAGCTGTTTGGAGGAGTTTGACAAGATTGCAATGGTTTCCCTTCCTTTAGAGCCGCGCGATATCGACTGCCTTTCGCGAGGACAATTTCCTCTGCAGGAAAGATCAGGGAAATGTATTCCAAGGTTCAAAGCAACTCGTTACCCGCTGACACGCTAACACACTGCCCTACTCGGAATATGCTAGAACAAGTGTACATAGAACGGTCTTAGACGGCACGAGGTCCCCATTTAGAGAGCGGAGGTGGCCAATCAAACATCGTTCAGCGCGAGAATGATGCGCATCCGGCGCGCGTGAACAATTCAATGCAGCGCACGCCATTGCCCATTGGGACGGTAGTTCCCCACGCCGTGACGTTCTATCATCTACGATTGTGTTGTGCAATGGTGCGTGTACGCACGGTACCCAGTCCATGCACAACATTCACCATACACATCCACCGAAAGTGTCTACTCTTCCACGCACAAAGTTTATCGACCCCGCAAGTCTGCTGTTCACACACAGACAGTAGTGGTATTAGCTGACAATTACTTCTGGAAGAGTTGAAGGTGACACGGTGTCGGATCTAGTAGGGTAGGGTGCTGAGAGGAGGGCATCGCGCTGTCATACTTCGCAACTGCTTCCCCTACACTTCCACTTGCTTCATCCAGCATACCCGCAGTCAGCTCTTTTATTTGCTGCCTTGTCCAAAGACAAGTCCTTCACGATAATACAAATTAATTCCAGTATTAAAATACACTGCAACACACCACGGTCCACATTTAGGCATGGCAAGAGCCAGGCGTTCAGATCAGGGCACTAGATTCACTTACACAATCGTCATGTAAATGGGATTGTGATCGACGGTAGTCCCATCGCTGGATGGGTGTCAGAATGAGCGCTACACACGGGCATAACAACGTAGCGCCCCACTCAAGTAGCAAGCAAATCATGATCGCTAAATGCTACTGTTACTGTTAGCGCTGCCTGTGCGGCTGATGCGAGTTCTGCAGCGTGTGAAGTACCTAGGAGGGCTGGGTCAATTTACGGCATTACCTCTCTCCCTCTCCTGCTGCTTACTAAGTCTTTGCTCTATTTTATGTTAGCGCGCAGATGAATCATGTCATCATACTGAGCGAGTGAGTTCGGACCACTTGAGAAACGAAGAGTGAAGTTTTCTCTCAGTTGCGAGCACAATTCATTCAACTGTGTTTAGGGTCAAGTTAGTGTTTACGTCGCGCAGTGGAGACTGAAGCCTTCCTCTGCACTTGGAGAACTGGGCCTGTGTTGTAGCTGCTGGTGGTGGTTTGGCGGGGAGGCCTCGTAGACCCTTACGGTAAGGAATAGCTGTGTGTTGCGTTTCTCTTGGAAAGAGGATGGAATCTTAGGGTTTGCCTTAAATGAGTTCCCGTTTCCAAATGTTCACTGGTTTGAGGGAAAGAGGCGTTTCCAAATAGGCAATAATTCATGATAGCTCCCGAGCCCTGCTGAAACTGGAGAACTGTCAGTGCACCCGTTCAGGCTAAGAGCCGGCTAGTCGGCGGTTGAAGGACTACTTAGTGAAGGAGACAGGTCCTGACTCCTGGAGAGGACCAACGTCGAAGCGTCACATTATTATGTTTATGACGGTGAACATAGAAGCACGATTATGGTCATGTAAGATTATCCCCATGATAGACTGGCATGGTGGGTCTCCAACAGGTGGAGATTTAGGACATGATGTGTCCCTGCACATGTGTGTACGTCGAAGTACGGTTATGCTCGACTGCATGTAATGGCGTGAGAGCTGGCAATGCACAGTGTCGCCCTGGCGCCTACTAGTACCTCGCTAATCGGGTAGGACTGTCCTCCACATAGGCAGACGTTGCACGGGAATTATTTAGGCGATTATTTTAAACTTGATCCAGTCATAGCCACTGACACGAGTGAAACATGATACGGTCCTCAGACACACTAGTATTTGGTTTTACTGCAGTCACTATCACGTGTCGTGGCCCATAGCTTGTCAACAGATGGTGAAAGATAGGGGTGGAAAAGGCGACGCCCATGGACCATGGCTGACATCCGTGTGACAATAGAGAACGTGAAGGTAAAGTTCGTAGACCTACATACATGATGTATGTATCACCACTGATTTGATCTTAGGTCCTGCCGACGTTCAACTATGTATATGAGGGAGTGTCTGAAACGACCACACTACGAAGAATACCTGTCAAGATTTTGTCCACAAGGCGCGCAAACGCGGTGCAAGCGATCAGCAGAGGGTAACCATGGTATGATCAACAGTTCTTGCGTAGAGACTGAGTCCAGTGGTACTAGTGGCGCAGTTGTGTTTGGGGCGTCACTGCGTACATGTACATGTATGTCCGGGGATGAGCACGGTGTTCCGGAGACTGGAAAGCGTCCACAGTGACATCGTACAGTGGACTGTAGTGTACGTTTCGTTCTGGTCTGTTCTTTCATACATACAGCATACTGCTGGTGGATGTACTGGTGCTTTGTTGCTAGGTTGTCGGGTCACTAAGTCGGGTAGAGAGCAACATAGCATCACAAAGAGTCCAGGCCCCATTCTAGCGCTCTTGTTTCAGTTCAAGTCGTCCTCGAGGGATAATTATTACGCGCTTTCTCCAGGAGCCCAGAGGGTGATGCACGAATGTTCGTGGATGGACTTCTCTCAGAGCAGGACTTTTCCGAGTTACACGCCATCACTAAACATCTATATGCACACTGAGACCAACAATCTCAACCCGTTTCGATAATGCCTGGTGAATCATTGGAATAATCGCCAGGCAAAGTGTCGTTTCTGTACCCAGTGCAGCAGTGCAGACGGCATGCGTTGGAAGACTACTTTGTAGTTCTAAGTTAGCCTCTGCTGCGGGACTGAAGGATTGTCAGACCAACCAACCTTACTCAACAATGCTTTGCTAATAATACCTGCAAAACATTGTGCAGTGCAAGCAGTGCTTGGGTCATCGCTCTTGAATATACCCCGCAGTGGATGAAATATGTTATAATTAGACAGTGCTTGTGCTGCAGGCTGTTGCAGTGTTCACCCCAGTAATTACCCCATTGAGGCGATAATGCCTACAATCTACATGACATTATCGTCGTCAGCGACGACAGCATCAACAGTGCAGTTCAACGTACACTGTGCAGTGTACAGTGCAGACGTCCATCTTGTTATTGATGAAGTGCTCAGTTAAGTTCTAGCTGTATGCAATCATGGCAATCAGGGGTCATGAGATTTGCTCGTCAAATCGAATTAGCATTGACTCTGTGGGCATGCAGGTCGTTGAAGCAGCACCAGACTCTGAGATTAGGCTGATCTACACCAACCTCCCTGGTGCAGTGGTGGGTCGAATCTACGAGTACAATGCTGTAATAGACAAACAGTAAGGCACGGATGGCATGGGTTCAGTCACGGTGTTGCCCCGGTTGTGTGCGATGCTTGCCCAAACACAAAGGTCACTAGCACCTGACCTGTAACTAATAATAATTATAATTACTTGTAAGGTTGCATCACACTGTGAAACGGAGAGTGCTGAGTAAAATACGTTGTTTTACTGCTCCCCGCTGTGAAGTACCAGAACAGGTGGGATATGCGCTAAACATAACCATAACCTCAGACCTACGTGAACAGACTGCATTCTACAGCTGTTCGTCCTTCTGAAGTCAGCATGGGAGCCTTCCAGGTGTGTGAAGTCCCTTGTACGGGCAATACCAGAACATACCACTAGCGCAACACCACAGTGGAGAAGCAAATATAGAAAATACACGTTCACATGTACATTCACGTTCACATGTACATGTACATGTGAACGTGAATGTATAAGGGAGAAATTTTAATATTATTATCACTGGCTAATATTTTCTGCAACCAATGATGAAACGTGGACATCAGCTTCCCGGGTTCCCGGGTGCATTCCAGTAGGTTCAAGCATGTACATGTGTATGTGGGAGAAATTTCTGGCGGAATGATGAGAACGTGGGGGTCAGCTTCCCTGATGCATTCCATTAGATTCAAGCTGGTCGTTCACAGTTTCTGTGTTCAACATTCGACACCGCATCGGATACAGGCGAGCATTGAGGAAGTTCTAGTGATCGTCGGAATGGTGTTCCGCCCCATCGCCAAACACTTCCGCAACTCGCAAATCGTTGCTCACAAACGCTCAACTTGACGAAGGGATGCGAGCAGAAAACGTCACTCCGACTCATGACAATTCGATATTGTTGTCGTTCGATTTTGCGTTCCACAGGGTGCAGCACCGCTTTGTTCCTGTACTGTACATGTACATGTACATACATTGTATACACAAAGTGTCTGAAGTCCTTGCTGAAAATAGTGCTCAATACTGTATACATGTACATGTACAAGCCCCATCAGCACCATCTCACCCCATGCTAGCCACATGTGCCTGCCAGTGAGTTGTGTATTTTGTAAAAAAACAAAAAAACATGGTTGTTGAATACTGTCTGCTGTCAGCGTAAACGGAACAGTTTTCTTACCCTGCCCTGAAGAAACTCCGGTGGGAAGCTTGACTCGTGTTAAAAGCAGTGAATGTACATCGCAATATCGGCATAGAACGAGAAAGAGAATCTCGGTGCTCGTAGCAAAAATTTCCTTCCACTCCCTCAACCTACTGTATGAATATCATAGCACAAACGTAGCATACAATCAGTCATGTACATGTGTACGTAATGGGTTCCACCCACGCCACTACCACAACCTGTGACCACCATACAGTTGGTGTACAACACAGCAGGTCGTGTTCATCACTGACATTCTCTTACACGTGTACATGCACATGCACGTGAAAAACACGGGCGCTACAATTTATATGCAGGTTTATCGGGCCATGATACTAAGTAACGTATACTTGATGATTTCACACAAGGGCGTGTATTGTGTAGGAATGCACGTACGGCCTCATTGGTTTGGGGTGTTTTTCCCACTTGAGGACGATCCAAATCACCACGACTAATCAATGTTCATGTTGCCTGTTGAGGATGATGATAGTCTTGCTACTACATGTACATGCAGCACAAGTCGTAATGCATGCTCCAGTCACGTGTGTACTGGTAACTCCGGTATTGCGCAATGCCCAATGGCACCGATACTCTCCACGCAACCGTTGTACATGTAAAGACCTCAGTGAAGTGATGTACTGTACCTGCACATGTAGTGCCAAGAGCTCCATGCCATGGACTCCTTGTATGGTCTCTTGGTCTTGGCAGAACTCTTGGCAACGTTGTCATGGCATTCTTTGAGGGATAATCCATGCCGGAGTTACGTGCACTTCCAAGTACATGTGGCGCCACACCAAGGGATGGTGGCGTCTCGGCCACAGAATCATGATGGCGATTACCCCAGAAAACGAATCAGGAATGCTGCAAATTCCTTATGAATATGTCCTGTACCGACACTCAGTTTACAATGTACATGTACATGTATGGGTAATATGACATATTTGGATCACCGCCTCCTTGATTCCCCGCGCTTTTTCCGGACAGATCTACATGACACTGTATTGTCCTCACTTGTGTGAGAGACGATGTAAGATACGGTGGCCACTGTTCGTGACGTTAACCTGATCAACCCGCGCCATGCCAATCATATCTGCCTGAGTACAGGGCATTACAAGTGTATTGGTATGCACTGCTTGGAAAGGCTGTGTTAGCTGGCTTACTGCCATGGGCATGGCTATATCCCCTGGCTTACTGCTTGGCGCTGATACGGACTGAGTACTGGAAAACATTCTCGCTAGACACGGATCCGGGTAAATTCCATTCGGACCAAAGGCAAAGAACCTAGAAGCTGACTGACAGTGACAGCAGCAGTCTGCTGTCCTGGAAATTGAGCACCCCTTAAAATCCTGCAGCAACATGTACGATAGGCATGTATTAACACTAGTAGAGTAATGGTATGAGATTGCAGACTTGTCAACTAACTAGTTTCTATTGTTAGTACTCCATCTTACAGTGTTTACGTTAGCCGTATGCAATGCACCCTGGTCTATTGTATAAACCAAGACTGTCTGTGTCCTGTATTCTACTGAACTACTACTCATTACTACCCTGTTTTCATTTCAACATCAGATCCACTCTGCAACACTTCAATCAGGAAAGTGGTGCGTTGAATTCTCCTTCGCAACTTGGCACTAATGAAGCAAAATGGAGTGACAGTCTTCATTGTCCCAGATCATGTGGTGCAAGCAATCGTATCCATTACACTAATCAAGCCCTGCGAAGATGATGGTGGAATGAGAAATAACCGTTAGCACAATACCTTTTACTGGGCCTCATCATGGGAACACGTCCATTTTGTAAAGCGCTGGGCGCAATGAATGTATAGTTCTAGGTCAGATAGTCGTAAAATAACGACTCTCTGATTCCAGTGATCGGATCCCTCTGTATCCTGCTGCTGTCTTATAATGATGGCAAATCGGTATGTTAGAAATGCAGTATACGTTCTAAGGCAGCTGGTGATTGATTGTCACGCCTAATGTAATGAAGTGACGTTGAGGTATGCATGTACAAGTCTTAGCAATGCGTGGTGTGTCTCTTTCTCCTCATTTCCCATGCATATTTCATATGTAGACTGGGCGTCTGACACCACTTAGCTGTCACAACCTCATCAGGAGCAGCTTTATCGGAGCGGCTGGACCAGCGAGGACAGACTTTGTGCCCAGCCCGAATTCTTCCCGTCAGCAGCATGGCAGAAGCCGGAAACAGGAACAGCTCAGCTAGCTTCGGCACGGATATCTCGGCGGTGTCGAACGAGGATTACTGCAACAGCGGACTGATCGTCTCGTCAGCCAGTCGCTCGTTGGTGCCCTCCCCATCACACTTTCTTTCTCTGAATCGCCAGCAGGGTCTACTGGATGGGGAGAGTGCAGGCGCAGCGGCTGCGACGGCATACACGTCCCAGCAGCAGAAGAACAGCAGACAGAGTGAGTGTCCGTACGTCGGAGAGGGGGAGCTGAACGGACGGCGGCTTCGCGACGAATCGGTGGACGAGAGTGTTGAAGATCTGGTGAACACGGAGGAGGAATCGCAGTCGCACTTCCTCACTTCCTGGATGAAACGCTACCCGGCACCGTCGAATTCCACCACGCCGCTTCCACCACAGAGCAACCCGTCTACGCTGGGCAAGGCACCTCTGGAAGAGAAGCCTTCAACAAGCTCTCACAAGTACGCTACACTCTCAGTGGAGACTCTAGAACCGGACAGTCTCTACACAAGCCGTAGTGAAGCAGAGGGCAGCGCTGATCAGGAGCCGTTCAAACGTAACGAACGTAACCGCGCCACGCTGGCACGCATCCTGGCCATCGATCCGAGCAAGCAGAGCACGGGGGACGCGCCGATCTCAACGCAACCGCAGCAGTGCAGCATCAAGGGAGTGCAGAAGTTCCCGCAGGTCCTCCAGCAGAACTCGGTGGCCCCGTACAACCACCACATCCCTCAGCTGGTAGCCGGTCAGGCACAGCGGAACTCCCCTAAAGCTGAACAGGTCCCCGTGGGCAGTCCTCCCACAATGCACCACCCAGCAGATCGTAACACACCCCCAGCAACAACAACAGCAGCAGCAGCAGCAGCAACAAGAACGACAGGAACAGCAGGAGCAGGAGCAGGAGCAATGCATAAGTTATCCAATGACTATGATGATCTGACATACAGGACAGGACAGCCACCATTGTCGGCCAGCTCCCAGCGACCACGCATGCACATCGACGACAGCATTCACCCATATCATGTCACTGCCAACCACCGTGTGCCTCAGAGTGACTCGGACGCGCAGGTCTCGGCAGCTCTCTACCCGCTCACTTCGCCCACAAACAGCACCTCGACGGGGAGACACTTCCAAACGGCAGGTCCATTCTATCGACCGGCATCGCCCACTACGTCAACATGTGTGTCGTGCTTTGGCGTGCGAACCAAGCCCTACAATGCCAAGCTTGTTGCTACGAGCAACAGAAATCCCCGTAAGTGCATGACATGTACAACCATGCCCAAATAGGTATGTGTGGGTGCATGATCGGCCGCATGGATCGAAGGGACGTCACACATAGGCATGAGTGACGTCACCCATAGGCAAGAGTGCAAAATTATAGAGTTTCATTTCGAGAGCTTCATTTTCGAACAGTAAAATTCTTTTTGCAGAATACAGTGGATTTGGAGAGCTCTGAAGATTCGCATTCCTCTTTTTAAATGTGCACAGTTGTGCCAATCATGGCTTCAAGATTCAAGACCATCGACTGTACCATCCTTTGACTGATAGGAGAAATTTGAGCAATCCATTAATGGCATTTGATAGGCTCCAAAAATACGCCGCTTTCAACGCAAACCCAAACCCGTACCAAAGCAGATTTTCAAAAGAATCCTCAGATTTACTTGTGGAAGCAGCTGATTTTCCCCCCATACTCATAGTGGTCCCAAAGTGAGAACATCACTGCCCCGTGATTCCCAGTGTTGGTGGTGCGGAAGCTGTGCAACCCTAGAACTGCTGCAACCATCAGGTCTGATTATTTAATCGCCAATGATCATACCATGCTATGTTCGCAAAGGGCATTTTGCTGCACTTCGTTTGCCTCGTCTGCTTTGCCTACAGGTAATGGCGGTTCATCGCGGAGTCGTGGCAAGAACGCCTCCTCACCATCGCCAGTCGACGGTACTCAATGCAAGGCCTATCACCGTCTGACACTGGTGATGTCACTGATTGCCGCTGTACTGTCCCTAGCTGCTCTGGCCATTACTCTCCTCGTGTTCCTGGGAATACTGAAGACCGATATGACTGGCAGCTGTGAATGTAATGCACAGAATGGTAAGCGTATAACGAACCAAATCGTGTATGGACCTATGGTCGCATGTAAACCAAGTGCATTCATCCTGTCATGGGCCACTTTCCAGTCATGACTTGCTGCTTGTATGGTGTGAGTGCATTTCTGTTATAACGAACTTCTGTTTTAACGAACTTCGGTTATAAAGAACTAATGAATGGTAAGTGTCACTGCACGATTTAAAAAAGGAGAGTTTATACACTATAGGAACAGATCACAAGTACAGTGAAACCTGTCTAAGACGACCGCTCAAGGGACCTTACAAACGTGGCCTCTGTTACCAGGTGGTCTCCTTATGCAGAGTCATTTGACTGGAAATAGTATCGCTTGGTCCTGGTTTCAGTGGTCTTCTAGGACAGGTGGTCGCCGTATCCAAGTGGTCGCCTTGACAGGTTTTACTGTATATGCCATTACTTCATTTGACGTGATAATGAGTAAGCGATGCACCCATATAAGCTAATTTTCTTAGCCAGATCTTGCTCTCTGATCTCCGCTCTCTGACTCTGAGCATCTAACTACACTACTTCCATTGCCATGACATAATAATGACATCATAGAATCACATTGACATCATCATGGTGTGGTTGTCTTTACTGAGACGATTGGTGTTTCCATGGTGTGAATATCTCCTGCACGATGATACACAGGCATTCTCGGCCAGCCTGCAAACACAGCCACCACCACTGCTATGCCAGCGTCCAAATTTCCCGTTTCCACGCCGACCCCGATCACCAACGCACCATTGGCTAACACCTCTGAACAATGTACACCCGTATGCAATGCATCACTTGCATCACTGGTGCGTGGTGAGAGAGGACCACGGGGACAGCAGGGTCCCATTGGACCAGCCGGTCCTCAAGGAGCTCAGGTAAGCTGTACTATGAATGCTCCCTGGCAACTGGGTATATGGATACTGGATGGCGACTGAGACATGAATTATTGTGTGTCAATAGTCTCAATACCACCCCCTCCCCCACCCCCACCCCAAGCTTAGAGGTGCAACATGAATACATGATCTGCGGTCTAGGCAGGACATCAGAGTCCACTCCCCTCCCACCCACCCCTCTCTTCATCCTCCCTCTGCTTCTTGCCCTGATTATTGAGCCCATTGCCCAGTGCAAAGTCGGTTCAATGAAAACGGGTCGGGAGGGGGGGGGGGGGCTGTTGGCCTAACAAACACCTGTGGAAGAACTCAATTGCTTAGCTCGGTGCCTCATGATGGTACCACTTCTAATGTTTCTACTGAACTGTATATTCTGCTCATGTGTCTGTATCTGTGCAGTGTGATCGTCCGTGTGTGTATCTGACACTATCTGTGTGTGTGTGTGTGTGTGTGTGTGTGTATGTGTGTGTGCATGTGTGTATGAGTGCATGTGCATGTGTGTGTGTGCGGGGGTGCGTGCATGCGTGCTTGCGTGTGTGAATGTCCAGGGTATCCCATGGGTCTGCCCAGTAACAGGTAAGCCACAGTTAGCAGGTCATGACTAATCATGTTCTGCAAGGACCATACTCACTAAACCTATTCAGCACACTACTGCATGCATGCATGCATGCAGTGAAGTAACACAACTGCCGTACTGGGATGGGGAGTCCACGGCTTTGCTTACCAGCATGCCGAATGATTAGGATAAGAGAATCATGGTTGCAATGATGAACTGGCTCAGCAATCCACTATGATTACTGTATACAGTTTCCTCTGAGACAAAAATGCGATAATACTCATACTACCCTACATCCCCTGTGTCTTGTTTTGTGTTTGTCTCCACATGTCTCTTTGTAGGGCTGTGTTCCCAATAACATAAAATAAAAAAGGACACACTTCAGGCTTATTACAAACATCTTGAAAGTTTTTGTCTTCACAAGTATACTTTCAAGCCTTCTCGTCAGGTGAAATACGGGCAAGGGAAAAGGAACAGGAACAGTGGATTAAATACAGCAAGAAGGTGGTAAAACTTTCAAGATGTTTGTAATGAGCCTGAAGTGTGTCCTTTTTATGATTACTGTATAAATATAATTTTTCGTTTACGAAATCTTTCGTTAGATCCCTCCACTAGCAGCTTCGTTAGGTACTAAATTTCGGTTTTGGTCGAGGTATGTCACCCCGAGCGTTCAGAAACACAACTTTAGTTTGGTACCGACATCAGTTATTTCGTACCCCGTAACGAACGTAGCGAAAGTTAATTCCAAACGAAGTTTTTACTTATACAGTACCATGTTTAAAGCATCTTCTACCTGGTAGAAACTATGCATTGAGACCTATCATTGTGGTCATAGGGTTAGGTCATTGGGGGTTGGTTGCCAGGGAAACTGGTCTCGCCGCGTGTCTCCCACAAGGACATAGTCACACTCCCTCTCTATCCTCAGTTGTGTATTTGTTTGAGTTCTTTGCCTCAACAGTAGTACAATGCACAACTTCAAGGCGGCAGTCCTGTTTCATGATGATGTACATGGAGTTGATTGTCTCAGGCTCTGTGTTTGGCCCTTCGTCTTCCCCCAATGCAAGTGTCTTCCCCAATCCCGCCCGTCCTTCGGTGTTTTAGTCTTTAAAAAAATAGTTTCCTTTGTGTTAAGCCTCGTCTTGTGAGTGGAACTGATGCTGGGAAATGGTTTCCACTGTGTTCTCCTTGTCCTGATAGGTTGGATCCAGTTTGGACAAACGTGCATCGGTGAGGCTGAACCTGGGTCAATCTTCACCTATGAAGCTGGTCGTTCAAAATGTGCAGAGATCGCTAAGTGAGTGCTTTGTTTATGCCTGGTATGGCTAGGGGCTTAAAATGACAAGACCGGCATACTTTCCTGCTCCCTCTTTCTCCCTGTATTTCTCCCAGTTTCTCTGACATACACACACACGCTCTCATTCACTGACGCGTTCTCCCCCCCCCCCCCCCTCCCTCTCTCTCACTATTTCCCTCACACTCTGTGTTTGCACCTCTCTCCCACCCTTGCTCCTCCATTCCTTACCTGCAGTGCACCTGGAGCCAAGCCCCTCGTGATCACTTCACGATGGTTGGCACTGATGGCCTTCACGCTTGCTGTCCGGGAGGAGTCGATATGGACAAGTAAGAACAGTGCATGCAACATAGACTATACTACCACTTCATTTAATGACCCCCTCCACCCCCCCCCCCCCCCCCGTGAATGGCACCATGTTTGCTATACCCTGATATGAAACCTTCCACACAGTGAACTTTCAAATTTAAATCCGCCAATTCCTCTACTCTTACATACCAGTGATGCCATGGGAGAGGGGCGGGGGGGGGGGGGGGAGGGAGTTGTACCCAATCTTACAAAGGAATTGTACCCCATCTTACAGGTGGTGTACCCCATGTTACATAGGGGACATGCCCCATCTCACAGGTAACGGGTTTCATCAATGCATGCCAAGTTGAAACTGGCTTTAACACTAGACGCAGAGGGCTCCACTTTCGAAATGAACTGTAACTCGGATATAGAACGAGCCTGAAAAGCCAAGAATGGAAAATCTTTTGCGCCACCAGAGTTTAGAGAATGTGTATCATGTCGTATTTGGTGTGCAAAAAACATGTGAGCAGAGTGGCGCAGCGGAAGCGTGCTGGGCCCATAACCCAGAGGTCGATGGATCGAAACCATCCTCTGCTACTTTTTTCTTCTTTTTTTCTGGTCTCGTGGCATTTTGCATTTTCCTAAGACCCAAAGTATGAAGGTGCACAGAAGTAAAGCATCGCTCTGTGTGTGACTGACAATTTTTACAACTCACTGTACACCTCTGCAGGTATCACTAGAAAAAGGTAAATGCTGGGTCCAAACTCCAAACCACACGGTGCATATACATTAGGAAGTGGGACAGCGGAAAATTCTGTTCAAACGACAAAAGAAAAAAGTACACGGCCAGCCAATCATTCGCTAGCTATTTCACAAACCATGCGTGCGGTACACGTTTTGTGGCAACGAAAAAACTTTTGCTCCCCCCTCACATCCATACACATCCAAGTGTTTGCAGGTCTTGGACTGTGCAGCACCCGGCATGGCATTCACTCGCTTGGTGTGATTTCATTGAGCACCGTGACTGTATAGCTGTATAGCTAGATACTATGCTGTTCACACACGCAGCTGTACACTGTCCCATGCAAACGTGGAACTGAGCTCAGCTCTCGCTGCGTTAGAAACACAAGGTTGGAATAGTATACAGTACTTCAAAGGACAACAACCACAACATCCCCTGTCTCTCTGGTCAAATTGATCAAAATCTGTTGTTACGTTTAACATACAGTGTAGCAGATAGTGTGTAATGGGTTATTCACACGACAGGCAAATCCATGTGCACTGGAAAATTGCTATGGCATTTTACCTGTTGGATGAGAAAAGTGGCTGAAAGTGGCTGAAAAGTGCACGACGCGATAATCGTGGCGTCCATGAATACATTTACACGAAAAAGCGCGAAACAAGACTTGATTTTTTACGCGGCTCTTTAGAGCATGATAATTATTGTATGCGTGTTTTGAAAATTTGAAAAACCCATGGCTACTGGTCAGTGAATCATTCAAAAATGCAAACGTGGCTGTGTGAATCCACACAGCCACTTTTCTCGTATTTCACTCCCTGTAAAACGTGCAAGTGCCCGTCGTGTAAATATCCCATTACTCACCACTGGTCGCACTCATCAAGCAGAACTGGCCTGCATGGGAGAAGTCATGACTGTGAACAATCCCGGATGACAATCTGACAGTGCATCGCCATACGGGAGAGGATGAAATCAATGACATCATCACCAGCGATTGCTGCTGCACTTGTGGCCTGAACAGAAAAAGTGAAGAATAAAACAAATTTCCCTGGAGATACGAAAGATATCAATGCAGCAAATTTACCGTATTTTCCGGAGTAGATGCCGTACTGGGTAAGCCGCACACCCCTCCCCCCCCCCATTTATTTCCACAAAGTACAGACATCTTTCCTATTTGAAACTCGGATGTTGAGCCATAAATAAATGTGGAAGAGAAAAGGACATATGGATACGAGTTAAGAGTAACTCTCCATCACTGTAACATGATACTATATACAGTCAGAAAGTGCAATAACTAGGCACAAAACTGACAGAGTACTGAAACATTCGACGTCCTGACACCTAGCTTCAACACATCTCCGTAGCGCTAACCGACAGCCTTCCAACTTGGAAGGTTCAAGGTTATGGAAAAGACCAAAGAGGGGAAGGCAAGCGCAACGAAAACGAGCAAAAGCTACAGTCCCAACGGAACAAAGAATGTTATTGCAATGTTATTGCAATGTTATTGCACTTTCTGACTGTATATAGTATCATGTTACAGTGATGGAGAGTTACTCTTAACTCGTATCCATATGTCCTTTTCTCTTCCACATCTTTCCTATTTATCACCATTAATTCGATCATCTGACATTCTGAGTATAAGCCGCACCGGTGAATTTTGAGTACTCAAAGCGTGGCGTATATTCCGGGAAATAGGGTAGCGATTTGCCCACTCAGCACAAACACCATCATTAAAATCCACATTATGGTCATATATGCTCCTTGAATGTTCTTGAGAGAAGAAAAAAATATTTATAAAAAAGTAGCAGAGGATGGCCCAGCACGCTTTCGCTGCGCCACTCTGCTTCATATGTGTACTAGTAGTCTAACCGAACATGTTCTATGAACTTGGCATTAGCAACTTGTGCAACTTCCAAATTTTTATCCTCGTGATGGCAGCCCATGACCAATAACGACTAGGGGTTTCACATCTTTGCCATATGCCTCGATTTGTGTAGAAACTAGAAAGTGATCATGGAATGTGAGCTGCTACAGCCTGTGACATTAACATGGCCGGCATGATGTGATTCGAAAGCACTCTACTAACTAGAAAATTGGTTGTGAGCAACACTGGCTCACACTCAAATCACTGCTTTTCACCAGAAAAATATTTTATTTCTACTAACTAGTATACGAAATACTGTAGGTGGATCAACACCATGCTAGCTCTCAATTGCCAGAGAGGCGTTTCTATTCAGACCTGCAAACCTATTATTGCGAATGAATTCTAAAGAAGACATAGTCCTCATTGCGCACGCAAACAGGTAACGGAGACTCCCTTGAATCAGGCTAAGACCTGTGGAGAATCTACACTGAATAAAAAATAAAATACAAACTCAGTCCAAGGCCTTGATTCAAACCGCCATGTCTTCTCTCCGCCTTATAACATCATATGCGTCCTCATTGCTGCAGGTTTGCAAACTGGTGAAGATGGACTGCTCAAGGGTGCCGGCGGGCAGTCCGTGAATGCGCTGACGAACTCCGCACTCTACAAAAATAACAACCTCTCTGGCGCAGGCTGTGATTACATCTCTGAGTTCACAGGTCCAACACTGCATCCCGTTGTCAGGAGAGGTTCCTGTGACACCAAGCGACCCGCCTTGTGCATCGTACAACCCTAAATGATCCAGTACCATGACTGGCGGTAGGAGGTTTTGATTGGTCTGGGCCTATCCTCGCCTTTCATACAGTTTGTGTATGATATGGAGGGTAGTCACATGACTTTCATACAGTTTGTGTAAGGTATGGAGGGTATAGATATGACCTCCTCAGCAGTAATCACATGTTGGAAGGCAAAACGTTGGTCTGGTCATTGTCTGACCAAGCGGATCGGTTCCACTGAGCCTGCATAACAGCTACCTGTCCCAAAATTGAATAATCTCTCAAGATATGATGATTGTACGAATGGTGCATGCATGGAGATGCTGATTGGCCATTGCCCAGACAAGGATCACGTGATGCCTCTAGGTCTGCTACTCAGCTGTGCTGTATATATACATACATGTAGGCTTGGGGGCCTTTGAAGTGGCTCCCATCGATCTGGATTGTCGCTACATACCTGTTACTGTCAGGCCCGTTTGAGTACTAATATAACAATGTTTTGTGGACAAAATCGGTGAAATTATCTTGTTCCCAGGCAAACGGTGAACCGGTTGGCCTACTCTCTGCATTGCGCTTACTAAATTTACTACAGAATATCCATCCCTGCCTGTATTTATACCCAACATGCTCATACACATACACATACACGTACATGCATGCAGAGGATGCAGTAATGCACCCGTGGCCACTTACTGGTAAGTAACTCTGCATACTCTGTAAATTATACTGGTAGACCACTGTGTATTACACTATTGCGGCATTACGATATATTCCTCTTTGCATCCAATACAAAGTAATTTTTTTTAATCAACTTCCATTTTCTTTTCAAGTCGTTTGACGTCAAATACAGAGGACTGGCTCGGCTAAGAGAGTCAGCTAGCTCGCGAGTCCGAGCTTTGCACGCCTTGTACATAAAAAGGTGTGTGTGGATGGGGGGGGGGGGGTGGAGAGGGGAGAAGGCAGCGGAGAGGAACAGGGGCCCGGGGAGGGGGGGGGGGGGCTGGTATGAGCATCAACCAAGCACTGACACTCCTGCTCAATGAAATCCAGTCGTGTCACTCAAGTACGGGTGTGTGCCGGGCGTTGCGTACACTGGGCTGCAACATGATGCAAGGTGCTAACTAACTTGAGTGACCCGACTGAAGTGACCCGACTGGATTTCATTGAGCAGCCTGTATATTCCTTGAGCGAACTGCTAACCAATATCACTCCTCTGCGGCCCGCTTTCTCACTAGGCAGAAGCATGATCGCATAGCCTTGCGTATGATGACATCACATCCAGTGAACTCACTTTGTTGTGAATGAAGGTGTGTACATACCGCACGTGTACGCAAGGCTGCAAGGCCAGCGCCCTGGGGCCACTACAATGTAGACGTACGACCAGATTTCCATATCCATGACAGTACTTGTACTTAGAAGGGGCCTTCCGACTGTGCATACCTGCCAAGTACTGAGAAGGGGCCTTCCGACTGTGCATACCTGCCAAGTACTGAGAAGGGGCCTTCCGACTGTGCATACCTGCCAAGTACTGAGAAGGGGCCTTCCGACTGTGCATACCTGCCAAGTACTGAGAAGGAGCCTTCCGACTGTGCATACCTGCCAAGTACTGAGAAGGAGCCTTCCGACTGTGCATACCTGCCAAGTACTGAGAAGGGGCCTTCCGACTGTGCATACCTGCCAAGTACTGAGAAGGAGCCTTCCGACTGTGCATACCTGCCAAGTACTGAGAAGGGGCCTTCCGACTGTGCATACCTGCCAAGTACTGAGAAGGGGCCTTCCGACTGTGCATACCTGCCAAGTACTGAGAAGGGGCCTTCCGACTGTGCATACCTGCCAAGTACTGAGAAGGAGCCTTCCGACTGTGCATACCTGCCAAGTACTGAGAAGGAGCCTTCCGACTGTGCATACCTGCCATGTACTGAGAAGGGGCCTTCCGACTGTGCATACCTGCCAAGTACTGAGAAGGGGCCTTCCGACTGTGCATACCTGCCAAGTACTAAGAAGGGGCCTTCCGACTGTGCATACCTGCCAAGTACTGAGGGTGCTTTTTCTGGATCGCCATGGCAACATCCTGGGATTTGCACTGGTTTTTCGGGATATGTCATATTTTTACCAAAAAATCCTTTTTCAACTTTTGATGGCACCAACATTTCGATAATAGATGATTGATGGTGATCATCGGATCACACTTACACATGTTCAAGACTCAAAAACGGAGGTTTTTCAGAGACTGCTCATGGAAGGAGCATTAGTACAGTAGATCCACGGGTACTGCAGGCTATGGAGGTCCGGAATCAATAAGGAAAATTACTGGCCTGTGACAAGTCATTTGAAGTGCTCCAAGTACAATATCAAGCTTGTTTCTTGTACAGTGAATTTCGGGATAATCGACAGGAATTTCGGGATCGCGGGAGTTCATCCAAAATTGCTCGATAATCCCGAAAAAAAACAGGATACTTGGCAGGTATGCCACAACTACCTCTTCCCCACCCGCTATTATAAGAAATACTACCGTGGCACCAACAGCTGCCTCAGAAACCGGAAAAGGCACACCCAACAGTAGTGAGGTTGCGCACAACGAAAATTCGTAAGATTTCGACCGTCCGGGTTCGAGTAACGAAATTTGCTACGAAGATCCATCCAAACGCGACCGAAACAGAGCAGATCTACGAAAATATTTTTCGTCACCTGGAGTACTAAAATACTGATATTTTACAACTCCCTGTCTTGACTCTTTGCAGCTGTGCGGCCGCCGCGTCGACCCACTACCAAAAATTCCACGCGTTGTGCGCAACCTCACGGTGTACGAATATTCGTTAGCTTTTTTTCGTTAAAAATATTCGCTACGGCGCTACGAATTTTCGTTGTGCGCAACCTCTCTAGTATTCCGTAGTAATGGGTTCTATCTCTAACACCCTTTCCAAGTGCATGGATGCAGAAAATCTCACCTGCCCTCCAGCACTGATGATCCCAGCGCCCATCTTGTTCATTTGTGCGACTTTTCTGACTCCTTCTGAGGCTGAAGCGCGGCATTCTTCACGATGCTCCTGTGTGTTGAACATTCACACCTGGCCTGGCCTGTCGTTGGATAGTGCCCCGAACCGACACCATACCCACACAGGTCTGCAGGCACAACCTACTCCACTGTCTCCAGTGCATGCTGAGCGTTGAGCGAGCCAGGCTTGTTGTATCCACGCATAAACCATTTGAACACTGTCATGCAGATCTGCAAGCTTTCCGCTCGCTACTCAAAGCACAAATTGCTCCAGCACGAGCCTTCGACCGGTAGAGTCCGCCAAAACCGCTGGAAACGTCGGGTGTATTTCCGCGTGGCTGAAGCTAGCTCTCGAGCAGTTGGACTCTGACTTTCTCGTGAACTCGGCCATTGAATTTTCTCTAGCTTGGTATAGTAGGGCGAATAACCTTCGTGTAAACATTGTGCAGAGAATGACTTATCGGCTCGGCTCGCTCAATCCACAACTCGCCTGTGTTCTCGACGAACAAGAAGACGCGTGTCGACAACTAGGCAGTTCTGAGCTCCACGCGTTGTGCGCAACCTCACGGTGTACGAATATTCGTTAGCTTTTTTTCGTTAAAAATATTCGCTACGGCGCTACGAATTTTCGTTGTGCGCAACCTCTCTAGTATTCCGTAGTAATGGGTTCTATCTCTAACACCCTTTCCAAGTGCATGGATGCAGAAAATCTCACCTGCCCTCCAGCACTGATGATCCCAGCGCCCATCTTGTTCATTTGTGCGACTTTTCTGACTCCTTCTGAGGCTGAAGCGCGACATTCTTCACGATGCTCCTGTGTGTTGAACATTCACACCTGGCCTGGCCTGTCGTTGGATAGTGCCCCGAACCGACACCATACCCACACAGGTCTGCAGGCACAACCTACTCCACTGTCTCCAGTGCATGCTGAGCGTTGAGCGAGCCAGGCTTGTTGTATCCACGCATAAACCATTTGAACACTGTCATGCAGATCTGCAAGCTTTCCGCTCGCTACTCAAAGCACAAATTGCTCCAGCACGAGCCTTCGACCGGTAGAGTCCGCCAAAACCGCTGGAAACGTCGGGTGTATTTCCGCGTGGCTGAAGCTAGCTCTCGAGCAGTTGGACTCTGACTTTCTCGTGAACTCGGCCATTGAATTTTCTCTAGCTTGGTATAGTAGGGCGAATAACCTTCGTGTAAACATTGTGCAGAGAATGACTTATCGGCTCGGCTCGCTCAATCCACAACTCGCCTGTGTTCTCGACGAACAAGAAGACGCGTGTCGACAACTAGGCAGTTCTGAGCTCCATACCAACCCAATCTATTAGTCCAATTATGGTAAGGTTGTACAGTGGTCCCTCTATAATCCGGCACCATTTGTGCCACGAAAATCTGCTGGATTAGGGAGGGTGCTGGATTAACAAATCTGATTTACTGCTGCAATGTGCATGAAGAGGACATTTTGGCTACTGAAAATTGTGCTGGTTTATCGAGGGTGCTGGATTATAAAGTGCCGGATTAGAGAGGGACGACTGTAGTTCGAGTGTTTCAACCTCTAGGCTCTAGGATATCTACCCCTAGGCCTAGGCCCTACACAACCAAATCCATGTTTTACCGTTGACATTCTTCTTCGAAAAACTTTGTCATTGTAGAAAATGCCTTTTGAGCACGGTTCAATGGTTCATAGGTCAAGCAGCGTGAGTGACCTTTACCTATGCAGCCTCGGTTGTGCAGTCGGGAGCATGCTGATCCAACGACCAGGAAGTCGGGAGAATGCTGAACCAGCGACCAGGAAGTCGTGAAACCGGGGGGGGGGAAGGGTTGGTGGTGCTGCCATGACTCCCTGGCCTGGCTCGAGCTAGAGGCAGTGAACATCATCGCTCTGGGTCGCCCAGGCGCAACGCAGCATTATCTTACATGCATGACCGGATAAGGGCGCTCACCAGTGCATCTGTCCTCATGGCGTGTTCCGCAGGGCCTGGTTTCTTCAGCCATAGCTATGAAGTATGATTGCTAATCACATGTGCACTCGTATCTATCTTGTCCGAGCCTTGATGTCACTCCAGCTCAGTCTACTGGGCACCCTGTGGGTGAGTTTTGGAGGAAATATTTCTACTCGTTTTCCTTTTTGTGTGGAAAGAGGGGCATCTCATGCCCATTTTCTGGCCCTTCCCAATAGAAATGTATACTATTCTGAGTTGCGGACTTTCCGAAGTTGCGGGCAGTACCCGGACCTGGACCGCCCGGAAAAGAGCGCGTTCAGACTACCGATAAAATGTGCCGGAATGGAAAGGTTTTCAAGGTGATTTGATCACGTGCCGGTACTGCCACTTTGCCAGTGGAAACGTTTTACTGTCGCGGATGCTGCGGCGGAAACAGCATTCTGGCAGTAAATAAAGGTGCCCAGGCTGCAAGTAGGTTGAAATCCCTTCTCAGTGCCATGGTGAGAGCTGCGTGAGTAACGTTAGCTTATCGGTAGTGCTAATGTCTTTCACGGTTTATTGCCATTCACGGTTTGACGGGGTTCTCGGAAGTCTGAGACAGATACGAGTGCGCGTCTCAACTAATTACTTGTTCATGCTTATTTTCCTGCCGCTATTCTCCACCGAGGTCAACTGACTCTCCCCGTGGATAGGAAAGTGCAGACTCTGACAGGTAGGCCCCTCAACGCGAAGTCATGTCTCGAGATGGTGTGAACGTTTTAGTACCATGTAGCCATTAGTCCTCAGTGGTTGGAGAGGTAGATCTGTACTGGAAGAGATGTGTCACTAGCCCTTGGCGGCATATGCTGGCATAATGTCTGGCATTGTCTTCGGAATAGCGCGAGCTCCGGGGTGGGGAGTGACC